CACCAAGCACCATGGGTACAGCACCAAGCACCATGGGCACTGCACCAAGCACCATGGGTACAGCACCAAGCATGTCTGGATACAGCACCAAGCACCATGGGCACTGCACCAAGCACCATGGGTACAGCACCAAGCATGTCTGGATACAGCACCAAGCACCATGGGTACAGCACCAAGCATGTCTGGGTACAGCACCAAGCATGTCTGGATACAGCACCAAGCACCATGGGTACAGCACCAAGCACTATGGGTACAGCACCAAGCACCATGGGTACAGCACCAAGCACCATGGGCACAGCACCAAGCACCATGGGTACAGCACCAAGCACTATGGGTACAGCACCAAGCATGTCTGGGTACAGCACCAAGCACTATGGGTACAGCACCAAGCACCATGTGCACTGCACCAAGCACCATGGGTACAGCACCAAGAATGTCTGGATACAGCACTAAGCACCATGGGCACTGCACCAAGCACCATGGGTACAGCACCAAGCATGTCTGGATACAGCACCAAGCACCATGGGTACAGCACCAAGCACCATGGGTACAGCACCAAGCATGTCTGGGTACAGCACCAAGCACCATGGGTACAGCACCAAGCACCATGGGCACAGCACCAAGCACTATGGGTACAGCACCAAGCATGTCTGGGTACAGCACCAAGCACTATGGGTACAGCACCAAGCACCATGGGTACAGCACAAAGCACTATGGGTACAGCACCAAGGGCACTGCACCAAGCACCATGGGTACAGCACCAAGCATGTCTGGATACAGCACCAAGCACCATGGGCACTGCACCAAGCACCATGGGTACAGCACCAAGCATGTCTGGATACAGCACCAAGCATGTCTGGGTACAGCACCAAGCATGTCTGGATACAGTACCAACCACCATGGGTACAGCACCAAGCACCATGGGTACAGCACCAAGCACTATGGGTACAGCACCAAGCACCATGGGTACAGCACCAAGCATGTCTGGATACAGCACCAAGCACTATGGGTACAGCACCAAGCACCATGGGCACTGCACCAAGCACCATGGGTACAGCACCAAGCACCATGGGTACAGCACCAAGCAGCATGGGTACAGCACCAAGCACCATGGGCACAGCACCAAGCACCATGGGTACAGCACCAAGCACTATGGGTACAGCACCAAGCATGTCTGGGTACAGCACCAAGCACCATGGGCACTGCACCACGCACCATGGGTACAGCACCAAGCACCATGGGTACAGCACCAAGCATGTCTGGATACAGCACCAAGCACCATGGGCACTGCACCAAGCACCATGGGTACAGCACCAAGGATGTCTGGATACAGCACCAAGCACCATGGGTACAGCACCAAGCATGTCTGGGTACAGCACCAAGCATGTCTGGATACAGTACCAACCACCATGGGTACAGCACCAAGAACCATGGGTACAGCACCAAGCATGTCTGGATACAGCACCAAGCACCATGGGTACAGCACCAAGCACCATGGGCACTGCACCAAGCACCATGGGTACAGCACCAAGCATGTCTGGGTACAGCACCAAGCATGTCTGGGTACAACACCAAGCATGTCTGGGTACAGCACCAAGCATGTCTGGGCACAGCACCAAGCACTATGGGCACAGCAGGTAGCTGGGTGTTTGTTATGTGGCCCTGGATGGATGATGTGCATTGTGCCTGGAGTCTGTCGCATGTCCTGTGATACACTGTGCACTGAGCGCCCCTCCTCCTCTGTGCCCACACAGCCTGTCCTGCCATTCCCAGCGCTGCTCCGCTAGGTGGCGGCAGAGGGCCCCGGGCGTGATGACGTCACTGGCCGGACGCCGGTCTGACTGAGTGGCTGACTGAGTGTTGCAGCGATCGCCGCGCTGAGAGCAGGCCCCGAGCTGGGAGCGGCGGCCGTGTCACCGGGGGGCACCGAGCGAGCACGGAGAGCCTCACACAGCCCGCCGCCATGGAGCGGCCCAGGAGGAACACGGCGGGGGTCGCTGTATCCTTTACACGGGCGGCCGCACAGCCCCAGGGTGACCCTCACAGCTCTGATACAACTACAACTCCCATGATGCCTTGCCACAAGCCACGGCTGGCACTGCATCATGGGAGTGGGAGTCCTGCAGGGCTTTACCATGTGTATGGCCACTCACAGTGACCTCTCTGGCTCTACAGCCATTGTAACACCAGGACTACAACTCCCACAATGCTCATACCGGGCATAATGCTGGCAAAACATCAGGGGAGATGTAGTCCACAACATCTGGAGAGGTGAAGGTTGCCTAACCTTGTTGTAGACCAGGCCTGTCCAATCTGCCCCCCCCCCCCCCCATGTTGCTGAACTACAACTCCCATGATCCCCTGGGAGTCTTAGTTCAGCAACATCTGGGGGACTGCAGGTTGGACAGGCCTGTTGTATGCCATGACTCTTTAGATCAGGCTTCAACCAAACTCCGGCCCCCCCAGATGTTGCTGAACAACAACTCCTTTGATTCTATGAATTAAATAGGCTGAGAATCATGGGAGTTGTAGTTCAGCAACATCTTTGGGGCCGGAGTTTGGGGAAGCCTGCATTAAATGCTTTAAGCTGAGCATCATGGCTAACATAGACCTCAGCAGCTGGAGAGAGGAGTTAGCCATCATTGACGTAGAGGTTGGTCATCATTGGTATAGAGGTTTGCAGGAGCTAATACAAGGAAGTATGTTAAGAACAGGCCTGTCCAACCTGTGGCCCCCCAGATGTTGCTGAACTACAACTCCCATAATTCTTTCAATGAAACAAATAGCTTAGGGAATTATGGGTGTTGTAGTTCAGCAACATCTGAGGGGTCGCAGGTTGGGCAGCCCTAAACCTTACCAGTTTGTTTTAATAATGGATGTGCTTCTAGTTTAATTTATGCTCCAGTTAATTATTCTTGAGCATCATGAGAAATGTAGCCTACAGCAGCTGTAGCGCTCAGGTGTAGTCAATATTGGAGTGTATGTTTTGCAGCAGGTAGATGGCAAGGTATCCATAGCTGCTCTTCTCGATTATTATTGAGGACATTTTCAGTTGTGTTTTAAGTTGTTAAGTTAGTGATCATGGAATATGTCACTGTCATATCACTTTTTAGCAGAATTGTAAGGTGTTTTGTAAATGGGCGTTTTAATGTTAATTACTGAAACGGTCTTTGTAGAGTTGTCAGTCAGGGATGGATTTGAACAGTTTGAATGTTTTTGTCAGTCTGCCATTTGGATTTTCATTAGAGTGTCTGTGTCTGACAGGGATGAAGCTAACTCCGACATAGAGAAGAAATTAAAACATTGAATTAGCAGACGAGAAGTCTCTCTCTGTCAGGCAACTCTTTCAGGGTTATTCACAGAAGTGAATTGTCAGGAAGTGAATATCAGATTTTACACAAAAACAAGCCATATGAAAATAGAGGGCTTGGAGAATTTTTTTCTCTATCTGAGTTTATAATTTGCATATCTCAATATATCCTTTCTGATGACATATTTTATTAATAAATAAATATTTGTGCTTATCACTGTAAGTGCTAGTGAATATCCCTGCCAGGAACTTCTGTTCGCTGTCCTGAGCTAAGATTGGAGGAGAGTGCCTGCTGATTATTCTCAGTTAATGATCTAAGCCCATCACTACTGTTCTTGGTTTAGGCGGACAGCTTCCTTCTTTTTGAGAGGCAGGGAGCATCACCGTCGTACCCCAGGTAAGAAGTCAAAACTGTTTGACTACTTTGGGGGCGTGCCATGGCACTGCTGGTGTGATAAAAATGTGTTTGAGACATCCTGGGACAGCGAAGCTGCTGGAACACAAACACAGCAGAGATACATTTTTATTTAATTTACATCTGATGCCCTATTCTCCCCAGTAAACTCTGAAATAATATTGTTTCTGGGGTAAAGGAGCAAGGAACTACAACTTCTCTGGAAATGACCTTTCAGTCTTTTATCTGTTAATCCACTGCAAGTGTGCATGATCTGTTTTGAGGGCCCTTCATTTTCTTTTGTGACTTTATTGGGGTCTGGTAATCCATTGGCTCAGGGAGGATCAAGCTCTCAATATCCCGAGCCTGAAGCCACAGTACAGGAATTTTCTCCTGGTTTATGCATACTCTGCTGTCATTTAGTGTGATAACCACTTAAGAACAAAAGACCTGCATATTGGTATGGAGGGCTTTCACAAGACGTTAGGCCTTAGTGACGTCATGTGGGAACATCTCAACCTTCAAACACTCAAAGATCCTTTCTCTTAGCTTAGCTACAACCAACTAGAATTCTAATTGCTTATCATAAACTGTTCAGAGAAAATGGTCTGTTTCTAGTACCGTAAAAATAAAGTTTCAGCATGCAGAATAACAGAGAGAATTGCTTCAGCCAAAGAACGCAAAGATCCACACTGGAAAAGGAAGCTACACTTGTGTAAACCGTACTGGGATGCTGTTGAATAAGGGCTGGCAATCATAGACATAGAATACATAGACGCTGCACGTCATGGATTGCGGGCGCCATCTTGGACCAGTCGCCGCTCTACTGAAGCTATTGAAGAACCCTTGGAAAGTCCATCTCACAAAAGGTAAGTGAAGGACTTGGGGCACTTATAGTCCTTAATACCCCTACCCCTACAGTGTTAAAACCCCTACCCCAGAACACACAGTGTTAATACCCCTACCCCAGCACACTATGTGTATTAACACTGTGTGTGTAGGGGTATTAAGGACTATGTGTGCTGGGGTAGGGGTATTAACACTGTAGGGGTATTAAAGACTAGGGGTATTAAGGACTATAAGTGCCCCAAGTTCTTCACTTATCTTTTGTGAGATGGACTTTCCAAGGGTTCTTCAATAGCTTCAGTAGAGCGCCAACCGCTCTAAGATGGTGCCCGCATTTCTCGCCGCTCAGCACGCAATGCGGCGTCTAGGTATTCTATGTCTATGCTGGCAATCCCTCAATGTGACAAAGGCCCTGTTGTGGGCTGAAACGTTGCAGTGTCTGTTCATGCCCATTAAAGCTGCTTGAAGTGATGGAGTGCCTGGACAACCTTTTTTCTTCTGACTGCAAAGAACACAAGGATGACGTTTTGAGGATTTGAATGTGAATGAAATTCTTTCATTAAAAAAAATTTAATATTTTGGTCTTTTTGTTTGAGCTCAACTTAATATTTAAAACAGTAGGCATTTTTTGTGATAACAGGTAGTACAGGGGGAAAGGGAGCTACGGCTACTTATATTTGTTTCAAGGACTCTCACCAAAGGCGTATTCAAAATGAGTCCATGGAAGAGACTGTGAGTTCCTCCATAGATCTTGTTGGGCATATGCAATGAGATGCATGTTCCCATCAACCATTGCGACAGATAGAAGATAGAAAATGCAATATTTAACAGGTGGAAGCTGTTTCAACATAGCAGTTTTTTTTTTCATAATGTAACATTACCTCTTTTCAGAAGTTATTTTTTTTAGTAAGGATATGACTCATATCTTACCCAAAGCTTTTACGTGACTATCTGGCTATCGAGGAAAGTAAGGGACAACTCACTGTGATTACATGATGTCATTTTCGAATTCAACCCCACAGAAGAAAAGACACAGTCAAAACAATACTAACCTATTTGATGACTTCCTTCTGAAATGTGTTAATTCAATCTACCAAAAGTCGCCTAATGACCCGTAAGTCCCCTTTGTGGCTGTCTGGTAGACAGCCACTAGAGGTTGAGTTAATCCTAGCAGGTAATTATTGCAGTTTCTTAAAAACTACAATAATTAACTTTGCAGGGTTAAGTGACCTGGGATAGTCTGGGTTCCTATAGTGTCCCTTAATAGCTTGCTAGACCCTACTTGCTTAATAGCTTAATAGCTTGCTAGCCTCCTGTGTGTGATAAACGTTCGTAATACAGAGCAGGAGATAAAACCTATTGAAAGTAAGTTACATCTGAAAATGAAACCATTTTGTTTTCATGCAGGCTATGTCAGTTGCAGCCAGGAGAGGTGTGACTAGAGCTGCATAAACAGAATCAAAAGTGATTTAACTCCTAAATGGCAGTGAACTGAGTAGTGAAGCTTGTGTATTTGTTATGCAATTTGAAATCCTATCGGCTGTGAACGAAAGCTAGTTTGTAGCTAGTTTACTTACAGAACCACTAATCGTGCACTGTGTATGTCACAAGCTGCTCATTGGCTCAGGATCCATTTACAGGCATGTAAAAATAAACATGTGTTGTGCAATACAAACATTTAACACCAAGATCTTCTTTTAAAGTGCATCTAAGTCATTTTTAGATGACAATTGACCCTTTAAGTTGAATCTTTTCCACACAATACATACAATTACTGATTGACTTTTAGAACGTGGGTCATAGCTTATTTACACACTCGAGTGCAGTGCTGGAAAAATGTCACAATATCATTTAAAAGTTGTTTTTTTCTTTTTAATTTCCAATCTCACCGAATATTCCATGTTATCTGATCATTGTGTTATAAAAACAACACAGTATGGAGAGACCATGTAATTAAAGGGAAACTCCAGGCACCCAGACCACTTCTGCCCATTGAAGTGGTCTGAGTGCAAACTCCCACTACCATTAACCCTGCAAGTGTAATAAACTGCAATAATTACCTTGCAGGGTTAAGTCCTCCTCTAGTGGCGGTCGACTAGACAGCCACTAGAGGGACTTCCGTGTTCTTAGAACACGAAAAGTGTTTTAAGCGACACTGGACATCCACACGCTATGTGAAAAACTCCAGCGTCGCCAAAATCCCCCTTTCCTATGGGGAGGTCTAATGCGTGTGCACGGCCATTTCCGCGCATGGGCATTAGGGCTCCCCGCTGGCTGACGGCAGGGAGAAGAGTAGACAGAGCCTGACCCATCACTGAGGGACATCGGCGCTGGACTCCATTTAGTCACTGAAAGGGGTTTTAACCCCTTCAGCAATTTTGGAGGGAGAGGGTCACTGTAGGGTCCTGCAGTGCTTTCCTGGCACTGGAGAGTCCCTTTAAATACGTATAACTAGGTGCTAATACTCTAAAGCACTCCCTCAAGTGCCCAAACAAAATCCAATATATCAAAAAAAGAGATTGCACACTAGATTTACTAATAAGAGATGCACATAAATGCTTTATTAAACCAAAAAAGGTACAACAAACAAGAATCAAAAAAATTAAAGTGACAACAATAAGGCAAACAAGTTAAACAATGACAGTTACCACAACGTACACAAGCCTATTCTTATGACCGCACCCTTGAGAAAGGCAGCCAGGAGGTGCCGAAACATTGGGGTGTTAGGCTCGTGTTTCTGCCAGAATAGGCTTGTGTAAGTTGTGGTAATTGCCATTGTTTAATTTATTTGCCTTATTGTTGTCACTTTATTTTTTTTGCTTCTTGTTTGTTGTACCTTTTTTGGTTTAATAAAGCATTTATGTGTATCTCTTAGGAGTAAATCTAGTGTGCAATCTCTCTTTTTTGATATATCTGATCATTGTGTCACATTTAATCATATTCATTCTTGTGCCTTTTTTATTCTGTATAGTGATTCTATACAGCCAAAGCAAGGCACTGTTTTCTTGAACAAATCCGATTTGTTTTTTAGCTGCCATAACTAACTTAGTAAACGTTTTGTTTTGTTTTTTGAATAATTTTAAGATTTCGTGTGTGTGTATATGTATGTGTGTGTGTGTGTATGTATGTATGTATGTATATATATATATATATATATATATATATATATATATATATATATATATATATATATATATAAATGATTTACTGTTTTGTAGAACAGTTTTCTTTCTCCTCTTGTTATTCATGGCATGTTGAGATTGTATACACAGGGCAGGAAATTTCCAACAAAAAACACGTTGGACAAATGAAAAATGTTGATTTTTCTATGACTGTATCTTTTGCTGAACTATTAAAGAAGCAGTAATACTTTTTTTCTTGTGCTTTGAAACATTGCCAGGTCCTCCTTTTTAGTTATTTATTTTAGCAGTTTTCTGACAACTTTATACTTTGAAATGCTATTGCTATGTTAGAAATGAAGTATCCTCTAGAATTCTGTACATGTTTATACGTTTGGAACTTTCCTTTACTGCCTTTTACAGTCTGTGGAGGGTCATGAAGTGAAGTTAGGACGCAAGGAGCCATGTCAGCTTGTCCTAAATCATCAACGTGATGGACAATATGTGTAAGTATTTAAAAGAAGAACTCTGTGTTTGTTTTTAAATTAAAGGGCAACAATCACTTTCCATGAATTATATTTATGTTCACTTATTCTCCACATTTAAGTGACATGTATTTCTGAGATGCAAAAAAAATTAATTAAATGTAGAAAGCTACACCTCTTTATCTTGGACCTGAACACCTTCATCTTTGCTCCCTATAAATAATTATTGTAAGTAGGGCTTTGAATTCAGAGTAATTTTTTGTGGGAGTTTTTTTACACTTAAAATGACGACTTATATGCCGGCATATACAGTTCATTGTAATATGGCAATTGTATTATAATTATATATAATACGAAGCGTTTTGGGATCACAGTCGGTGGTACCATAAATTGAGGAGTCAGAGGTTTTGTCCCACACAAAAGTCCTAGTGTCATCATAGAGAGCGCCATTCAGAAAAGAGGAGGAATGCAACAGTTGGGGAGATTTCTCTGTGTCTAGTTCACATTGATCAACAATGACCATTGATTTCCATAGTTATTCTCCCACTTTTTGGAGCATGACACTGATCAAACACCTTGCTGTTTTTATTTCTCCTCCATATTTCGAATGTGTGCCCAGCCAGTGCCTGTACTGAACTGGATTGTTCTGTCATTTGCTAACTGTTTAACCCCTTAAGGACACATGACATGTGTGACATGTCATGATTCCCTTTTATTCCAGAAGTTAGGTCCTTAAGGGGTTAATATAAATTTTAAATAAACAAATGATAAAAAGGTTAAGACAAGTCAGAGGTGAATTTCAATGTTTTATTCAACTTATTTTATTTTTTTGTTAATTTTCTTTATTCGTTTCCAGTGATCTGATGGCTCCTTTTTAATGTGTGCCAGTTAAATTAATTTTATTGGCAGAATTCGTGTTTTGTATTTTGAATTTGAAGTTTTTTTTTTTGTTTTTTGTTTTTTGCTGGTCCTTTGTCCTGAAAGCATAACCGATTATATAACTGGCACAGAAACCAGGGAGTTTTAGTTGCAGGTATGATCAAAATAAACAGTCACCTAGTTAAAGTTGATGACATTTCTTCTCTTTCTTCATCCGAGTAAACACTATTTATGACTATATATGACACATATACTAGGTCTGGGGAGGAGTGCAAATGTTTTAAATCTAAAACATTCTTACACTGCACTTCCTGACTTTCTATGGCAAATTGCAAATTATTAAGGCAAAACAGTTGTTTTTCTTGCTTCGTCCTAAATGTTTACATTGCATTGTTTATGATAGCTCGTTAGTTAGCATTTTGCAACAAATAGCTCATGGTTTTGCCTTAAAGGACCACTATAGTGCCAGGAAAACATACTCGTTTTCCTGGCACTATAGTGCTCTGTGGGTGCCCCCACCCTCAGGGACCCCCTCCCGCCCGGCTCTGGAAGGGGGAAAGGGTTAAAAACTTACATTTTTCCAGCGCTGGGCGGGGAGCTCTCTGCCTCCTCTCCTCCTCCGTTCCTCCTCCTGGGCTGAATGCGCACGCGCGGCAAGAGCTGCGCGCGCATTCAGCCCGTCGCATAGGAAAGCATTTACAATGCTTTCCTATGGACGCTTGCGTGCTCTCACTGTGAAATCACAGTGAGAAGCACGCAAGCGCCTCTAGTGGCTGTCAATGAGACAGCCACTAGAGGAAATAGGGGAAGGCTTAACCCATTCATAAACATAGCAGTTTCTCTGAAACTGCTATGTTTATAAAAAAAATGGGTTAACCCTAGCTGGACCTGGCACCCAGACCACTTCATTAAGCTGAAGTGGTCTGGGTGCCTAGAGTGGTCCTTTAATTTCTCTCATATGTGCCCTCGGAACCATTTTCCATGGTCAGCTGCGTGGGGTATTAAAGGAACACTCCAAGCACCATAACCACTGCACCATGTATAGTGGTTTTGGTGCAAGGAGTGCCATGGTACCATCCAATGATAAGATTGCCATACTGCTTTACCATGGTTTAATGACTTACCTGGGTTCATCTTTTGCACCTTGTCTTCTTAAGCAGCTCTGTAGAGCAAAGCAAGCCACGCTGGACCACATGCGTTGACTGAGAGCTCTCAGCTTATGTTTTCAGCCAGTGATTGCTGTAGTGTAGAGATGTCACATGTTTCATTTTTCTGACATAGTTTAAGAGAAGGAGTGCTGTATGGCTGCTGAAACATGATCAAGTGACTTTTCTTGAACAAATGCGAGTTTAGGTCACAACATAACTTCAAACAGCAATTTGTACATCTATGACATTTGTGCTTCTATAGAAGATGTTTTAATATTATGTGCAATTGGTTGAGAAACCAAAATGGCTTCCAGAGGTTGTGACCTGTGACCTTTATGTTGCAAAGGCTATAGTGATCCATAGGTCTCTACCATTGCACCAAGTTTCATGAGTTATTGACGAGTTTCGGGATGGACTATATGTGTAATATGTGCATAAAAATGCATCTGAACAAAATATTAGCTAGTCTGCAGCTTCGTTGCTTGTCCACCTAATTTTAAAACCCTATGCCTTCATATTTGTGGTTGGCTTTTCTAAAAAGAATTCCGTTTTGTAAAGACCATCCCTGATGTTGGACAGCATGCTGCTAAAGCTTCAGTCATGGTTGCAATGAGCACTCCATAATGTAGGAAATGCTATTTAAGGGCACATTCCAGCTTATTCATGTTATTCCTTTCACCAGCATATGCACGAATTACTGGGAAAATGACACCAAGCACACAGAATGTCTTGTCATAGAAACAGAATTTGCTCTATTTATATACTAATTAAATCCATAGATTGATCAGTAAAATGGTGTGAGCACACAGAAGTATACTATAGGAGAGTATTTTTTATACTCGCCTCTGCTGCACTTTACCAACTCCCAATTCTTCTGTATATGACCATTTACTAAAGTTAGGTGCAGAGAGGGGCTTGATTAAAAACAAATAAATATAAAGTAACATTCAAAGCGCCATAACCAGTACAGCCTGCTCTAGTGGTTATAGTGCCATGGGAGCCCTGGCACCCTCCAAGAGTTAAGTAGCCAAACCACTTAAAGGGACAATATAGTCACCATAGCCACTACAGCTTAATGTAGTTGTTCTGGTGTCTATAGCCTGTACCTGCAGGATTTTCAATGTAAAGGCTGTCTTTTCAGAGAAAAGGTAGCAATTACATTGCTGCCTAGGAACACCTCTAGTGGCAGTTACTTAGATGACCACTAGAGGTGCTACCTGGTTTAGCGCTGCACAGTGTGCAGCACTGGTGTTCGGAGTCTCCATAATCTGCATGGAGGTGCTCAATGTTTTCCCCATAGAGATGCATTGATTCATTGTATCTCTATGAGGAGATGATAAATGGTGGAGCGTGGCATCTTGCCACACATGTACAATAGCCTTCCATTGCTTTCCTATGGGAAAGCATTGGATTTGGTGAGATCATAAAGACTGATGATCTCAAACATGGAGGCCGAGCCAGCAGCGGCGAGACTGGGGCTGCGTGAGAAAACGGTATACATGTTTGTGTTCCATTTAAGAAAGCTTTGCCAACTTAAACGGCTCCCGCCAAGCAAACTCTGCTGCCTCCCCAATGACCCAACCCTACATGACAGAGCTAAGCTCAATTTAGCAAATGGAAGCTTCAGGAGCCTGCAGCCGCAGGGAAGGTGCCAATGGGTGCCAGACAGGACCTAGCTTAATTTAGCAAATGGAAGCTTCAAGAGCCTGCAGCCACAGGGAAGGTCCCAATGGGTGCCCGACAGGACCTAGCTTAATTTAGCTAATGGAAGCTTCAGGAGCCTGCAGACGAATTGTAGGTGCTAATGGGTGCCCGACAGGACCTAGGTAAGTTTGTCAAAATGTTCTATAGGCTGTAGTGGTTATGGTGGTAGGAGTGTTCTGTTAAACTCGTTAAATAATGATACTATACATTTTTAGCCATGTTACTGTGTGCACATATCTGCGTACATGCGTATATTAGGATTTGGAGCGTATTTTACCTTTTCATCGGATGCCAGGCAGTGGCAGCTTTGGATTTGTAGAATAAAATGCTGTTTAAAAAAAAAAAAAAATAATAATAAAAAGCAGCACCACTAATATTTAACATTTTGATAGCTAACAAAATCACTTGCAAAGTAAGTAAAGTTCCTCTTTAAAGCAAGCTGTTCTGTTTGGCAATGGCAATGACATACTGAAATTGGAAGTTGCTTTGGTAGCAGAATTTATGATAAAACTGTGAACACTAGATGGAATATTTATCATACTGCTCTCCAATTTGCTGTTTCTATGGGTGTTAGTGCTGAAGTAAATATAAAAACAAACACACTTACCATGTGGTAAAGTGGTTAAAACTCATTAGAGGGCGACTGATGCTCAGATCCCCCCGCACAGAAGGGACTGTATTACATCATATTTGGAATTTATATTAGTCTCGCTTCCCTCATTTTATCAGTACCTATCATATTTTTCACTTCTGAGTCTATGGTCAAAGCTAGGCCTATTGTCCATAAAGGAGGTTTGGCTAATAGACGGAGCGCTGACCCCCAGGTCAGGAAATCGAAACTTCAACAACAGCCCCTCTGTAACTTTCACAGCTAAACTTTTCACTTGTTTGATATAGTTCTACTCTAACCATTACATTGCATGGACAAGATGGTTGTATTTCGACTTATTGTATATAACCTGTCCCCTTGCACTTGTTAAATGGTCAACATTTGGAAAACAAATTATTTTTTTAAAAAGGGTCACTAGATAAATGACATACACACTAATTTAGCATTAGACAGATGTTGCAACTGTTAAATGCATGGAACAATTGCATTTTTAATATAAATCTCTGCAAATGTTGTATTGTGTGTTAGTGATTCCATTTATGCTATGGACAAATTATAGGACCTATTTTCTTTGAAAGTAAACACGCTGGTTTGACTTGAATGCATTTGTTATCTGTAATGTAGATTACCTTAGTATTGCCTTTCAGGCATTGTATAGTGTGTAACACACACCTGTGCAACTCTGGGTTTAACCTACCTGTGACAATACAAACCCTGCCAGTTCTAGTAAAATTAAATTAGCATCTGAATACAGTTTTAGAAATTATTTTTTGCAATGTCCTTGTAAGAAGCAGAACCTGCTCTGCTTATGTGCTATATAATTTCATAGATTACATAGTACTGTTACTGGCTTTTGGTTTAAAAAGATTTAAAATCTGACAAATTAAGTAGACCTTTTTTTTTTTTTCCCCTCCCTTTTCAGGCTGGTCATTCACTCCGAAGCAAAACATTCAAACAATGAAGATGTTCTACCAATAACAAGCAACTTTAAATGTGTTCAAGGTGTATATTAATCTGTTTGTTTTTCCATGATAAAATATTGCTTAGAGATACTGTCTGTGCTCTGCTAATTATTTCCATAAATATTATTCAAAACTGTGTTTTTTGTTACTTTTAGTGTGTGTGTGTGTATGTGTGTGTGTATATATATATATATATATATATATATATATATATATATATATATATATATATATATATATATATATATATATATATTTATTTTCAAACGTAAGAGTGTCTTGTTTGTTAAAATAATTGTTTTTAGCTCATAAAGGAAGTAGTATGTTTCTGTTATTCTGAGGTTGCAACATTTAGTTTAATTTCGGATACTAAATGTCAAAGGAAGATGGAAACATTACTTTTCAGGAACCACAATGTGTCTAGGAATAAATAATAAAATATTTAAAAAACCAAACATAAACAGTTCTATTTTCTGAATCCCTTTACTTTTAAGAACACAGAATCCTTTTGAAATAAATTGTTCAGTAGGATTGTACCCGTATTAATAGTTAAAGGACTACAGTTGCACAACTCATTTAAGATTGCAATTCCTGTTATGTTTAGATGGATACCTAAGGCAGCTGATACTGTTGCCTAAACTGACTCTAGTAACCTTATTATGTCACTGGTAGAATTAGTTTCATAGTAGTTCATTTTACTTTGATTTTATAGGATAAATTAACACATATATTCATGGGCTCTGCAAATGGAACGCTATGAATGTCGAAAATTAAATCTATCATTTTTAAAATGAGCATCATACTCTGCAGTGCTGAATAATAATAATTTTGCCTGCTTGGGACTCTTGGCCTTTTCTGAGGGACTTGGCAATAAATGCGGATTGTTGTGCCTCGAGTGTTGTTCCCTTCCTTGGGTAACATAGAATGTGATGGCAGATAAGAACTATTCGCCCATCTAGTCTGCCCAATTTTCTAAATACTTTCATTTGTCCCTGGCCTTATCTTATATTAAGGATAGCCTTATGCCTATCCCACGCATGCTTAAACTCCTTTACTGTGTTAACCTCTGCCACTTCAGCTGGAAGGCTATTCCATGCATCCACTACCCTCTCAGTTAAGTAATACTTCCTGATATTATTTTTAAACCTTTGTCCCTCTAATTTAAGACTATGTCCTCTTGTTGTGGTAGTTTTTCTTCTTTTTAAATATAGTCTCCTCCTTTACTGTGTTGATTCCCTTTATGTATTTAAATGTTTCTATCATATCCCCCCTGTCTCGTCTTTCCTCCAAGCTATACATGTTAAGATCATTTAACCTTTCCTGGTAAGTTTTATCCCGCAATCCATGAACCAGTTTAGTAGCCCTTCTCTGAACCCTCTCTAAGGTATCAATATCCTTCTCAAGATACGGTCTCCAGTACTGTGTACAATACTCCAAGTGAGGTCTCACCAGTGTTCTGTAAAATGACATGAGCACTTCCCTCTTTCTACTGCTAATACCTCTCCCAATACAACCAAGCATTCTGCTAGCATTTCCTGCTGCTCATTACATTGTCTGCCTACCTTTAAGTCATCTGAAATAATCACCCCTAAATCCCTTTCCTCAGATGTTGTGGTTAGGACTCTATCAATGAGGGATGTGGTTTATTTTTATTTACCTTGGAAGGAGAGGGGAGGTTGTGCTGATTGCTGTTCAGATATCTGCACCATTATTATGAAGTGGTTTTATTTTTTGACAACTTTTACATGTATTTTTTGAATTTAGTTATTAATTTCTCTCTTTTTTTTTTCTTTCCACAGAGGCAGAGGAGACTCTTCTCATAGATATCCCCACCAACAGTATGTACTGTGACTCCTTCTAATCTTCAATACTAATTCAATGTAATCTGCCTGCACCATTTTGTTAGTTTCTAGCTTGCCTGGTTGGCTCTGTGGTGTTTAAGTAATTGCGAGCAATTAAACAGTTTTATATCTCCAAAAAAGGTACACTAACGATAACCATTTAATGTATTTGACTTGGTTATAGTGCCTGGTGTCTCAGGGCACTGTCCCTCCACTCTGTGTTGAACCATTTTTAAAAAGTTTAACAATAAAAAAGTGTCTTTGGCTAACCAAAATCCTCCCCATTACTGGAGGTGTGGCTAAGGCGGAGATTACACACTTCTACGCAGTCATATCCATTCCCATTCTCATTCAGCCAATGACAGCTGCTCATTTCTCCTTGGGCTAATACTTCATTAGCCAAATCAGCAAAGAGCTACTGGAGACTCTCATAAAGCATTAAAAACTGTTTAACACTGAATAAATTTACAGCACCTGGCGACACCAGACACTAGAGCTAGTTCATTAAGATTAGGCCAATATAGTGCCTGCAGTGTCCTTTTAAGGAACAATTTAAGCACCATAACCACCACAGAGTGTTGCCCCCCTTCAATGTAAGGTGTCCATTTTCTAACAGTGTTTACATTGCCCCTAGGGACACCTCCAAGTGGCCACTCCTCAGATGGCCCCTGGTGGTGCTTCCTGGCTCAGTGCTGCACAGTAGACAGCAGTGCCATTCAGCCTCTCCACGCTCTGCATGGGGACGCTGAATTTTCCTCATAGAGATGCATTAATTCAATGAATCTCAATGAGGAGGTGCTGATTGGCGAAAACAGCCTTTGGCCCCGCCCCCTGACAATTTTAGCCAATCCAATGCTTTCCCCATGGGAAAGCATTGGTTGGGCTAAAAATGGGCAATTCTGATGTCACCAAGGGGGCTTGGCCAGTGCCGGCGTACACGTGCGGCACTGGAAATAAGGTGAGTTTTAATTGCTTTTAAATGGGGGCAAGCCACCTTAATAGTGTGTGAAACATTATAGGGTCAGGAATACATGGTTGTGCTCCTGACCCTATAGTGTTCCTTTAATGGAATGGCTGCTGGAGGGGTAAACTACTGATCCCATTAACCCCTCTTAATTAGAAGAGCCTCTTTCTGGTCTAGTAAGGTTCTTTCTTCTTCTGAATTCAACCCTTTTCAGCTATGCAGCTTCAGATGTTTTTGCATTATTTTGTTAATGCATGAATACAGTGCATTATAAAATGAGTTTTTTTTAACCGCTGCTTCCCTTTAAAAATAAATAAATAAAAAAGTGTCAAAATATTCTATCTTTACAAGTGTTATAAATTAGCAGTGATATAAAAAGGGACACATTCGTCATCTATATTGCACTGGGTTGTTTAACATGTTGGGAAAATTTACAATCTCACGTGAACAACTGGTCTGTACAAGAGGGTGTAGACCTCACTTCTGTAATCAGTTGTGTATTCACTAAAATGCAGACTTGTGGTGGCTTGAGAAGGGACTTGCTAAACTCCAAATTGGTTGTTGGTTATAAACTTGGCTTCCAAATGAGTTCTTGGCTCTCTACATTTACAACGCCCATTTTATTGTGCTTAGAATGTTCATTAAACAGTAAACAATTGCAATCTTTTATTAAAACATGCTAGCAAGAACATGTGCTACTTATTATCTGTTTCAGTGGAGGTATCGTAGGTAGAAGGTAGTTATAAACCTGCCAGAAGTATTTGCTTTTCAGGCGTGATAGTGACCTATGCTAGCTACACATTTGTTTGTCTCTTAAATTAGACGTGTCTAATGTTTAAGTGACGTTTTGGACAGACTTATCACACTTTTTTCTCTGTGTTTTACTAAACATAGAACTATAGAGAGGTAAAAACAGCATTACATAGTTAAGACAAAACTAGGTAAATTGTAACTACATGAGCTATACAAGCTGTCAAAACAGCTATTTTTTTTAAGTGGTTTAAGAAATAAAAGCATAGCTCCCCTGAATTTTTAACCCTTACCAACCATTGTACTGTCGCTCAAATAATGCAGAATTCTCACATGGACAGTAGAGATGGGCTGCAAACATTTTAATTTGATTTCTTTATCCTTCAAAACCTGGTAACTTTCAAGCCATTTGAATATACAGTTACTGGGTTTGATAAGTCCATACCCACCTTTCACCTGAACTGTATCTGAATAAAGAAAGAGGCATGTTTGCATTGGAGGAAACCTACTGCAGGCTTAGATATCTGTGCGTTACGTAGACTAATAGAATCATCTAGCCACAGGTTAACTCTATTAAGTCATGCATTTACAAGTACATACAGTATACTAGGCCTTTAACAGATGTACTTCATATAGAAAAACAATAATATGTTTATTATTTATTGTAAAAAACAAAACATTTAATGAAAATCCTGTAGCCACAGACATCTGTACTTAACTCTCTGTACTTAAGACAACATACAAGATTTCGTACTATTATTTATATATATATATGTATATATATATATATATTTATTTTTTATTTATTTTTATTTTTTGCGCCCATGGAAGGTGCATACATAAAATGTAATTTGTAGTAATCAATGCTGACAGGAACCATAATTAGATTAAAAACTTCCTCTAGCACTGCTTTTATTCAAGCAATTGAAATGGACGTACAGTGTGTGTCCATTCCCTGTGGATTACAATGCTCATGTGTCTTAAACTGAGCTGGTGCTCTTACCTGCTACCTTGGGATGCATTGGAGAAAACTGTATTGGAACAAGAGCTTGTGACCTCCCAGAGTTCATCTTGCATCCTCCCGCATAACGGTCTTTCATAGGACAGAAGGGAGTGTTACCTGATAGAAAAAGGGCAGATTTATTGGGACTCTATAGGCACATTTCAGTTTTACAGAAACAAAACCAGTCAGTCACTATAGGTGCTTCCTGCAGTTTTATGGATTTTGACTCCGTGAAACGATGCTGGACATACTCATGCGTTGCATGAGGAGTTAAAAAAAAAAAACCCCACAGGAAAGTATTTATTCAATGCTTTCTTATGAGGTAGGCCTAATGCATGTGGCACTTGCTGCGCATGCACATTCAGTACATGGATTGCGTGGATTTTGGTAGAGGAGAAGCCTGACCCTGCGCTGAAGGACATCTGTGCTGGAATAAGGCACACGTTTAAAAGGTTTTTAACCCTTTACATGGGATGGGGGCAGGGCCAGAGGGATACTATATTGTCAGGAATACAGCTCCTTTAATGAACTGCTGATAAGCCTTTCCATTATTCTGGAATGTAAATGTGTTTCTCACAGGAATACGGAGAAAAAGAAATCCAACAGGAAACAGACCATGGGAGTTAAATTAAATCGTATATGTCAAACCAGACAGACGCTCGGAGCTCTGTTGGTGTTGCTCTTTTTGAGTCTTGGAAGGCATGATCCGATTGTGGAATGGCATCTTGTGTTTTCAGTGCTACCTGTCTTTTGATTATTATTATTTTATTATTTATATAGCGCCAGCAAATTCCGTAGTGCTGTACAATGGGTGGACTAACAGACATGTAATTGTAACCAGACAAATGGACGTACAGGAACAGAGGGGTTGAGGGCCCTGCTCAATGAACTCACATGCTAGAGGGAACAAAGTGTAAAGGTCCACCTAATTATCTGACCTGCCTGCATCTTGGGGGGGAAAAAATTGAGAGAAGCTGGTAACTTAACAATGCCCAGGAAATACCACAGTTGCACTTAATCTGGACACACATTTATCCTGCAACTCAACGGAGGCGTGATATTTAGAAAGCAATTTTACAACTTTGTTAAGTAATTTTTATTAAAACCGCCTTGGGGTATTGGTTTTGTAATTCGTCTGCTCACTTTCAGCTCTGCTGCCCTCGCCTTTTGTATTTGTACATAATGCCCCGTGTTTCAGATGCCTTCTGAGGCTGAATACACAGCTGGCACAACACGCTACTAATGAGATACCCTTAATAATGGTTATGTTAATTCAACAGGGTTTCGTAACGCTGTACATATCTTTTAATTTTAATTGTTTTCTGGTCCCTTGATTACCCTGTGAATATGTATCCGCTTGAAAGGAAATTTGTTTGTAAAGAGCTGCTGGGTAAGTGTAGCTGTGACTCATGTTTTCCAAGCTGTCTTGTTCTTCCCTAGTAATCTTTGTGTGACTGACATGGCTGTGGATTTCCTCTGTACACATTACTTGTCACAGCGGTTTGGGCTTTGCAGGTTTTTTAGGATTATCTTAAAGAATGCAGCTGCTTTACGAGATGCAGGGAGTGACCTGTAGCTGGTTCATAGGAGTTGGCATCATAACTCATAGATGGATTCATACAGTAACCTTACTGTGGGCACCTTGTGAACTTACATTGCTAAGACAGTAGTAGAGATTGCTTAGGGGACATGGAGGATGATGGGACCTGTAGGGAGATGTAGCATATATATTGGAAATAAAAATGGGAAGGGGATTGAAATATAGTTCTATGCAGTAAGGATCAGATATGACTGGAAGAGGAATATAATTAAGAATAATCAGTTGAACTAACCAATTTATTTTTTTCATAGAAATATTACACTTTTGAGTTAATTACTGTCCATTTCTTGTCACCTGAGTAAATGCTTTCGAATTCTTTACTCAAAGAGTTCTAGAGGTGAATATGAAAGTAAACTAGCTATTCAGTACTTGTGAGAATTGGCCAGAGAAGTCCTTCCATTATTGCCATGAGCAATCTTGTGTTCTCATGTGCAGACCGTTTACATATTTTGTCTAGCTCTGTCTTGCACCCTCAAATGTGAACTACTAAAAAAAAAAAATATGAGGCAATATTTTGAGAGAAATTAAATAGCACAACTCAAGTTTTAGTTCGCTCAACAAATGGACCGTTCCTCAATGTGCCAAAATCCGTATGTGATGCATTAGGCAGCAAATAACACACTGTTGATCTCAGCAGTAGAATATTGCTCTAGTTCATGGACAACCACTGCAGTGGGTGACCAATTAAAACTTGAAACTGTAAGTAAAGACTTGCTAGAATCTTTCTCTTGTGAGGTTTTTAAAAATATAGAAACATTATAGAAAATTACATATGGGGAGAGAATTTCATTGCAGTTCTTGCATTGTCTCTATTTTCTGCATTAAAGACAGTGGGATATTTTCTGGTTTGTGTTCCCCCACCTTTTTTATATATATAAATCTCTAAATCTAACCTGGCTTTGCTAAATATTCCCACAGTGCCTCACAAGGAATAAATACTTAAGACTAGAGGGGGGGCATTCCAAGCACTAGAACTATTACAGCCTGTTGTAGATAATGTAGCACAAGTACTCTGAAGACCAGCTTTTTTTTTTTTTTTTTTCTATCAATTTATTTTTCAAACTTTACTCCCTTCAGATCTCTTATATCATATGAGAAGTTTCACCTTCCTCACTAAAATAAACTGTATAATCATGGTGTTTGGAGTGATCTTTCCTTGACATTAAGTACCTCTATTTGTAGAAGCAGTGAGGAAGCCACTCACAGACAATTGGAAAGCACATGACGTTTGTTTCTTTATTCCATTGCAGTGCATTCTAATTTTTGCCTCAGTAAAATTAATTGTATTTCAGTTTATCAGTACTCTATAGATTCTGTTCCACCTGACAACAAATATATGAAGTGTTCTAGCTCACAAATAACATTTAGCACCTCTGTCATTCTACTTTTTTGTTTGTTTACTCCAATAGTTTTACCGTTGTTAAATCAACAAAGATGTGTATAAACGGCAGCTGTCCTGCCTAATATGACATGGTGTCGCTTTAAATAATTTGTATGTCATACATTGTGCTAGCCAAATTACTAGCAATTGTATAGATTTCAGGACAATCAGGAGGTAGGAGGAAAGTGCAGACGAGCAGCAATCTGTTTAATACACAGGCTCTGGGATCACGGAGGCTGCAATAGTGATGGAGAGGGTGTTGAGTTAACCTAATTTTTGCCACATTTTGTCTAAATCGAATACATTTGGAATGACAAAAATATCAATGTGACCAAATGTTTCCTATTGTGAACTATTTTTGTGCGGAGTTTGGATGTTTTCATTTTAGTGATATTGCTGCTATTGCGGCGTTGAGTCATAAAGGTGTGATGTTCAGCATCGTAGGTCGGCTAACACCATTTAAATCTTCCTATTTTTCTGTTCTTTGATACTATTCTCCAGGTTCGTAATGTAACCTATTGCTTGACACTCCAAGTCACCTAGAGCAATTTAAACCTGCATTGTTGTACTCTGTGGAAAGCGCTGAAAAGCTAGAATCAGCGGGAGTCATTGTCCTGGAACTGATTGTGTGTGTATATAAATCCTATGAGTTTGCCGTAACATTGTGCCGGATGCTTGTTTGCAGGTGGCTGTAAAGTGAGAGTACAAGCTGACCCTTGGTCTGCAGAGCGTCTGTTTGAAATTTCCGACGAAGATAAATGCATGGAGTTGCTGGCACAGATGCGGATCATACAGGAGAGTAAGTGCTTACTAAATGTTTATATTGTGCAGCGGAACATAAGCTTTAAATAGTTTGCTTGGGTATATGGGTCATTTAAGCACGCAACTAAAACCTTACAGCAAGGTGTTTTATACCAATCACTATGAACTAATAGGGTGGCTCTAAGCACGATCAGCTCTTATGCTCATTACATAGGGTATGGTGCAATGAGGTCCTACGTACCGTGTCCCTTTCGTAGTTGTTTACAAGTGCAGAGATTTGTAAAAATAGCTGAAGCTATAACCTAACCGAATACAAACTGTATGCACACTCCTCCCCTTTTTGTCTACATGGTTATAAAAAACCTTTAAAAAAAAAAAAAACTTTTAATGGGGGCCATGAATAAACTGATAGCAGCATGTTGGCTTTTGTTTTTTCTTTTGCATTTCTTCTCCTCAGGATTGATAGTTTGAGCTGCGCCAGCAGTTATCTACATATCGTAAACCCAGTGCACAGGGTTCAAAGAAGAATAGAAAGGCTCCTGGTTGTTGGAGCAGTCTTTCTGGCCTGCTTAAGTGCGGTTGCTTTTAAAAAAATAAATAAATCAAAAGTAAATAGAAGAAAAAAAATAGTAAACCGAAGCTACTACAGTAACACGTCTGCAGTAACCCACCATACATTATACTTAAACTGCACAGTTTATGCTACTCATTTTTACAGTGTGAAGTGTAAGAATATCTTTTAAAAAAGTGAGATTTAAATGTACAGTATTAAGTACTGTGTATCTTTTTTTTTTTTTTTTTTAAATAGGGCAGCTATATATAGACCTTGAGTCACAACTATTGAGCTCAGTGATTTGAACTTGAGTGATTTGTATTTATGGCACCGTTATCTTACTTAAATAAAATCCATTTGTCTGTTTATCTATCTTCTAAAGCGCTTTTCTTTTCCCTGATCCATAGCTAAACTATTGAGTATATATATAAAAAAAAAAAAGACATTTGCAAAGCGTTTTGTGCGCCATAGAATCCCTGATTATTCTGTGGTTTGACTGCATATGCAATTAATGTTTTCCTCATTTAGAACAATTCCTGCTGAAAGCGAGCTATATTTTTAATACAGAAAGTTCTAGGCAGTGCAGGGATTATAGCATTATTGATCAGATAGGTATTCATTCCAATACGGTGGCCACACTATATATCAAAGACGGGGTCATTTATTTAACAGATCCATGTGTATATTCCCTCAAAAGCCGGTGCTGTGCTGGACCAGTGTGTTTTATAGTAGATCATTTTTAGGGTCAGGATAAATCTCCTCCTAATTGCTATTTTCAACTGCAAGCAACATATATTACTGGAAATCTGTCATCCATCAAACATAGGTTTACACTTCCTATGTGTATTATGGCTAGGAAAGTATAAGCAAACATAGAGCAAGTGCATGTTTGTTAGCTCCACGCTTGTCACTGGAACTAATGTGACTGTTATGCCATAGTGCATGTGACAGTTGAAGCCGCTTACATGAATTTCTTGCAGCCATTTAAACAGTTTTTCCTCTGCTGAGGATCTCTTTCCCCATTCAGGGGCAGATCACTGGGTAAGATAACTTTCTATAGCTGTGCATTTGATACCAGTTTGCTAACACCATATAGTTTATTAACACTGGATTGTAGTTTACTGAAAATCAAATTGCAACATTTTGGCTAAAATAGCTTTCCCGATTTGACTTTGTTCACAACCTGGCTATTTTAACATTTTGCAGTTGGGGTGTTTAGTGATAGCATTTAGCTGCACTGCAAAATGGATCTGTCATGTTTGACATATCAGCGTTCATACAGCTTTGTTTCCGTTGATTTCCTGTTCTAAAGGATTTCCTTTATCATTCGACCTCAGCCAGTTTGTATTGTGTGTCTGCTTTTTAGGGTTTTAGAAAACACTTTCCCCCCTCAGGATAACAGTAAACTTTTTATGCACTATTTTAAATGTGTTTTTTAATGACTGCTGTAAGAGTAAACTTGCATTACAGTGAGCTAGGGCTTCATTTTTCAATCTCTATTGTCATGCAGCATATCTAAAAACTGTTCGATTTGATAAGAAAGAGTCATCTAATTGGTACCAACCTGCAGGAAAGATTGAGGCTACACCTGGGATTCCCTCAAAAGCCGCTCCAGGTATTTATAATTGAGTCCGTTATTAACCTTGTACTGCTTTTATAGTGTGTAACGTTCAGTTCGTAATATATGCAAATGCAGAATAGTTCTCCAGTGGGGGATGGACAGCATGTGGACTGAACTTTTTTTCTTCCATTATAAATTTCCTGTGAAGATTTAGTGAGCAAATTTCTGCTTGATTGAGCTTCTGAATGCTAGCGATATTTTTCCATTTGAGGAAGCTTGTCACCATTTTTGCAGAAATTGCCATAGAAGATGAAATGTCAGTTATGGCCTCCAGCATGTCTGATTAATGCGTAATATATAATGTATCTTGAGCCATAGGTTGTAAATGTAGCTTTGTTTTTTTTATTTCATATTGTAGCAATATTTCTGGGCTGGTTTTCATTTTGGAGTTGTGTGGGCTGGTTTCATTTTTGTTTTTGCATAAAAAATGTGAATACTGTATCTTTAATATACCTATCCATGGATACGAAGCATTGTTTCTTTGGGTTGCGCCTGTGTTTTAGCACACACTGGTGCACAGAAATGTTTGTTTCTACTTTTTCTTGTAAAAACTTAACTAGAAGATCTTGAGCAAGTGAATAAAAGCTGTGACTTCATGATTTAAACGCTGCAGTTAAACCCTGTGTTATAGAAAACCACTGGCATTTCGTTAAAGGAACACAATGTCAGGAATACAAATATATATACCGTATATACTCAAGTATAAGACCACCCGAATATAAGTCGAGGCCCCTAATTTTACCACAAAAAACTGGGAAAACGTATTGACTCGAGTATAAGATTAGGGTGGGAAATGCAGCAGCTGCTGCTAAATTTCTAAATAAAATTAGATCCCCAAATAATTACATTAATTGAATATTTATTTTGTGTATATAATGAATGCAGTGTGTGTATGAATGCAGTGTGTGTGTGTGTTTGTATGAGTGTGTGTGTATATAATGCAGAGTGTGTGTTTGTATGAGTGTGTTTATATATAATGCAGAGTGTATGTATATGACTAGAGTATAAGACGAGTGGTGCTTTTTCAGCACAAAAAATGTGCCGAAAAAGTCATCTTATACTCGAGTATATACGGTGTGTGGGTGTGTATATATATATATATATATATATAATTTTACAGGAATTGCTATTTAGGTCCTCAGGCCTCTCTACGTGGAGATTAATGGTGGTCCTGTTTCTGTGGCTGAAATCATCAATCTTGTTGATCCAAACCAATTCAATGCTTTCAGATAGGAAAGCATCAGGAGGCAATTGTGCATGTGCAGAACACACCACGCTGCACCAATCAGCATTTTTTAATAGCTGACACAGAAAGCACATCTTGTGGCTGTCTGAGTGATTGCACATAGAGATGTTACTAAACCACAATGTAAACACTGCCTTTCTCTAAAAATGCAGTGTTTCCAGTGCTACAGCTGCAGGGACATGCTATAGACATCAAAACCAATACATTAAGCTGTAGTGGTTCTGGTGACCATAGTGTCCTTTTATCTTGATTTCACTCTACAAATCATAAGACAAATGAGGCAGTAGGAATTCCAATACAATAGAATAGCTGTAGTCAAAACAAGAGGTTATTAATTCTTTGTTGTGGCATCTTGAATGAGAAGTGGGACAGGCTTGTGCAGTGAGTTTGAGGTGGAAATAACAGAACCATATGAGTGCTTTAGATGTAGGTGGTAAATGCATGATCGTGTCCAATTTGAAATCCCAACATTTATCTATATAATGGCCTAATAAACATATGCCACTAATAGCAATATATATTTTGCCCCCATTTATATTGTAAACTTGTTTGAACACTTCCCTTACCACCTCTTGTTCCTTTAAGTCAAAGTTGTCTCCTTCCTTAGTAATTCAACACTGTGGAGTGTGTCAGAGCTTTATAAAGTATATAATAATATAATATTGAGTGCTGGTATTTGATGACATAGGGACTACAAGCGTTGAGGAAATGGTTAATTATTGTGCCATGATTATATTATATTATAATTATATTATTGTACCATTTTAAACCACTTAGAAGGGATGGTATGTTAAGTGTGTGTTGTGTTTTTGTAGCACAAGTGTATTAATTAATATACTTGATGTGCCTACTGTAAATCTGCTCTATATAAATTTGTGAATTTTATTTTTATTTTTTTTTAATTAAAGGAAAAATTAGTAAGCACACTATAGCTTGATAGTGTATATGAACAGCTTTACCCTTTAAAGCTTTTTTTTTCTTCCTCTTTCTCCCTAACAGAGCGCCGTTATGCTTATCTCTTCTTGTCACTAGGCCACTGTGTACATGATGCTATGTAATCCTAGACTGTTCTTAGTTTCATTAATCATAGTTTAGAAAATGTCAACCTTTCTGATACGCATGATTTTGTAGGTATAAATTACTTAAATACAATAAGGAGTCGGTAAATATAATTTATGATCCAGTACATAGTTCTCTTTGATTTTTTTTTCAAATAAATTTTTTTTGCCATGGGGCATTTTATAGCAGGGGGGAAAAAAAGAATTGGTGAATTTGAATAAATTGTTTCTTGTTACTAACTTTCTTCTTTCTCTCACTCTCATTTCAGGGAATTTGGGGTTTGATGATAATTTTAGTGTCGCAAATATAGAGAAGAGGAGGAACCTTGAAAACAGACAACCGGGCTCGCGCAGAGAACCGCCTCCTCCCCCTCCACCAGCTGTGGACAGGAAGTAAGTGTGTTTATTATCTACTATGCTTTTTTTTTTTTTAATGAAAATTGATCATTATGGTTTATGTTCTTGCTCAGTATATATATATAAAAAAAAAAGTATTAATTATTTCTGTGGTTATGGTGACTGTATGTACTTACTACATTTTGTTTTTTCTTCCTTCCCAAAGTCCTGTTCGGGAGCGAGAGAGAGACCCAGCTGGATGGGAGAAACCTAGAATGACCAACAGCATGCGTAAACTGTTTGTCCCAAACACCCAGTCTGGACAGAGGGAAGGACTGATTAAACATCTGCTAGCTAAAAAAGAAAACGAATATGTGAATATCGAGAACTACAGGTCAGTGAGAACAGTCATTCTTTATGAATAAAACATCTTCATACCCATTGTCTACATGTGGGAATGTGCACATACACTGTGTGAATAGTTCTACTTGGTGAAATCCTTCAAGGTAAAAAGTTATGGTTAGCAATCACACTACAGCCAGGGAGTTAAAACATTTAGGATGAAGGTTAGGGAGAAATCAAGTCCAACTCTAAATGAGATTCTAATACTTAAATTAAAGATAATGCTAACTCTGAGCAGATTTCTAATTTCATCCATAACAGAAATGTCACCGTTTAGCAGATCAAGCAGATGAATTTACTGGCTTAAAGGGACACTATAGTCACCAGTGCAACTATGTGTATTCCTAACCCTATAGTGTTAACAGGACCATCTAGCCCCCCTGGGCCCCTCATGCCTCCATAAATACAGTAAAAATCTTACTGTTTTCAAGCCAGAAGCTGTAAATCTGCATGCTGTTAGACTCAGAAAAACAAACAGTCTGCTGACATGTGGTATCTCTATGTGCAATCACTCAGACAGCCACAAGATGTGCTTTCTGTGTCAGCTATTAAAAAATGCTGATTGGTGCAGCGTGGTGTGTTCTGCACATGCACAATTGCCTCCTGATCCAATCACAGTGCTTCCCCATAAGATTGGCTGAGACTGACAAGGAGGCAGATCAGGGGCAGAGCCAGCATGATTCAAACACAGCCCTGGCCAATCAGCATCTCTTCATAGAAATGAATTGAATCAGTTAATCTCTATGAGGAAAGATCAGTGTCTGCATGCAGTGGGAGGAGATACTGAATCACAGGATGCTCGTGCACAGCAGATCTGAGTGACTGCAACTGGAGGTGTTCCTAGCTTTCAATGTAAACACTGTATTTTCTGAGAAAATACAGTGTTTACATGAGAGAGGCTGCAGGGAGCTATAGTTCTCACCTGAACAACCTCATTAAGCTGAAGTTGTTCAGGTGACTATAGTGTCCCTTTAAAGATTCATTCCCAGAGCCTGGTTAACATTGCCAAACCCACTACTGTGGGACATCATCTGTCCCTTTTGTAAGCCTGCCATTGACCCTTTCCAGCTTATGAATTGGCATTACTTTAGATTTTAAAGGACAACTGCTGCCTTATAAAAAAACTTTAAAAAAAAATTTTCATCAAGTTTTTAAATAGATTTAAATAAATGAAGTATATGTGAAAAAAATCAACTCATCCTTACCTTTAGTATATAACTGGATCCTTCAGCCATAGGCACGCACCTGGGGTCGGACAGGGAGTTAGGCAGGTGACTATAGGCAGGGAGTGGTTCTGGTGACCTTAGTGTCCCTTTTATATGTATTCTTAATTCTCTATAAGCTTTGCTCTCAGAAACTCTGTGATGCAAATTGTATTGACTCATTTCAGTGTTTTATTACTAGAATATCGTGCTTAATATAAAAAGAAACTCATACTGTAATGTTAGCCAATAAATTACTGCTAAATCCAACCTTTAACCATAAATGTCCTAACTCAGTGCTGTAACGCAATCTATAACCTCAGCTGCTGGTGTGAAGATAACTTTGCACAGCAAGACCTTGCAAAGTAAGTAGTCTTATAAAAACATAACTGTACTTACATGTGCTCAGGAACCAATCTCTTCTGGTAGTGTTTTGCTTGCTCTTTAAAATAGAAGAGTAAAGCTTTTATGCATTTGCTGTGTGCACAGAGGTATGCTTTGCTGCTGTAGTGCTAAGTGTGACACGTTCACAGCTTAAATGTAAACCCTGCAAAATGTTATAGGGCTTGACCCTTAATGTCCCTTCAGCTGAGCGCATAATCTATCAATATATAACCAAGAGGCTGCTTTCACCTGAACATGCATATATATTATAGGGTGCAGATGGGCCAATTCATTTGGAGCTTGTGTGTTATTTTTATATATACGTGTATATAAAAAAAAATTGTCTTCTGTAATCTACATAATATAGTATATTACTATACTTTCTTTCTTACTGCTCTCTCCTTGATAAGGGTACGCAATTCTTTTAGTCATCAGGATGTTTATTTGCATGTTGCGGGAAGTGATTGAGTTCTGAGGTTTACTGCAATTTGTATGATAAACCCACTAGGGAATGGTGGGTGTAAAATACTCTGAACAGCATGTAATAGAACCTTTTTTTTTTGTGTGCAAGGGGCGCAGTCTGCCTCTGTATGCTCTGGTGATAGTGATGGGATGGATCTGTGACATCACATCGTCCCAAGAAGAGATGTGAAAACAGTCTCTGCTCCTTGTTCAACATTCATTTACTATTAACTACCAACAGTGAACACTGGGACATAGATATAGAGAGAGAGATACATTGATCGCTAACTCAGAATATTAATAGAAGGAGAAAAGGTGAATGATAGAGGGATGAATCATTGCGTGGTGGTGGGGGCAGCTATATTCTATATTCTTGCCAGTGGATGCCAGAACACAGAATAGTAGACCATGAACATCTGAGTTGTGTTTTCTGACTAAAGGGCCACTGCAGTTATTATAATATTATGTTTTTTTGGCTATAACCCTTTTAGGGCAGTTTGACAAAGTTCAGACTCTATCCAACACTACCAAGCCCAATGCTCAGATAATGTGGAACTTCTTTTCTTAAAGCAATAGTAGGCTGGCTGTGACTTTGCTAGTTTTATGTGCTGGAGAGCGCTTCAAAATGAATAATCAAAAAAATGTGGTACAGCACCCAAAGATTCATTGACCATAATCGCTCCAATGAACTGTAGTGATATTGGTGCTTAGTATCCCTTTAAATTGGGCTTTGTTAGAGTATGAGAGATGTGTAAATGGCCTTTACCAGTAACCTTTGCATTTTTCGAAGAAAACGCATGTATTCTATTCCTGTCTGCTTACTGTGCTTTCAACTTGCAAAGTAGACTATGCCCTGTTCTCGAACGCATCACCCACCTCCTCTGAACAAAAGGGAGGTCAGTCTGAAGTGTTACTTTTCCATTTGCATGCCCAGAGGAGTTTTAGAAATGTTCTTTGCTTCATCTGTGCAGTTTATCGGCTCATTAAAGGAGCACTAAATGGTACATGTAGCTGTGTACTACAAAAGAGACACTTTATTTAGCACAGCCATATCTATATATAAAATGTCTCAAGGACAGGAATATGCTTTTGACAGAAACTGGTCTGGAGTTTCCTAATCCCCACAATCAGTCAGTCATCCTGTAAAGTGAAAGGCTTATTTAAGAATAATACATTTTTAGTGCAGTCCAGAAAGAAAGCAATATAGATCGAAAGTAGGCATATGTTGCAATTCCTTATGCTTACACGCTGTTACTCATAGACTAGTCGACTACCACACACATCAAGCACAATTTATTTACAAAATATACTGTTTTGAAAAGTCTCTCTTTTGGCTAGAACAATACTAATAACATATTGGAGAATGTTTTTTGATGGGACTTGTCTTAAATTGAATCATACCGGCACCATGCTGTGGTGTTAACGATTTGGATTTGCAAAAATTACCCATTTCAAAATATGGAGTTCTTTTTAAAACTGTATCTTATAAATGTGTCTCTTGTTTCAGTGCACCCACACATTATTTTGCTTTGTTCAGTTGATTATGAATTCCCATCTCATTTCCTCCTGTTGCAATGACCATTTGTTAGCCTTCTCACATCAGATTACCTAATGTATGATGTGTTGCAGATTCTTTGTGGGTACTTGGAATGTAAACGGACAGTCTCCAGATGGAACCTTAGAGCCATGGTTATGTGCGGACACTGACCCTCCTGATGTCTATGTTGTTGGGTGAGTGTGCACATGTAGTTTTTTTTTCTTTTTCTTTTTTTTTTTTAAACCGGATTCTATGTATTAGAATTGTGCTTCCATGATTAAATGGCTCTAGCACTAATTCTTTTTGAACTTATAGTCTTTCTGTGAAGCAATGTAATTTTGATTCATGGCTGCAGTGTTCAGTTTTGCATTTGGTATAGACTTTTTTTCCTGCTATCTACAGGACAGTTTCTAGACTTACTGATTTTTCTGGGTGAAAGTAGGTTCTCAATTGGCAATCTCTTTCAGGTTTCAAGAGCTTGACCTCAGCACAGAAGCGTTTTTCTACTTTGATTCAGGAAAGGAACAGGAGTGGTTGGAAGCTGTTGAAAAAAGCCTACATCCAAAGGGCAAATATAAGAAAGTGAGTCCTGTTTATTTTACATTTCTTTGCATCACAGTAAATCAGAAAGATCTGATTCTTTCATGATGAACTCATAAACAGATTGCATCTTGTGAGGAGTCTTAGACAGTGGTTAATGTGCTTAAAGGACCACTATAGTGCCAGGAAAATAAACTCGTTTTCCTGGCACTATAGGGTCTTTAGGTCCCCCCCACTCTCAAGGCCCCCCTCCCACTGGGCTGAAGGGGTTAAAACCCCTTCAGCCACTTACCTTTCTCCAGCGCCGGGCAACTCTCCTCCTCCTGCCAACGTCCACTCTGAATGCGCGTACGCTGCAAGAGCCGCGCGCGCATTCAAACAGTCCATAGGAAAGCATTACTCAATGCTTTCCTATGGACGTCCAGCGTCTTCTCACAGTGAGAATCGCGGAAGCGCATCTAGCGGCTGTCAGTGAGACATCCACTAGAGCCTGGATTAACCCTCAGTGAAATATAGCAGGGACCTGGCACCCAGACCACTTCAATGAGCTGAAGTGGTCTGGGTGCCTATAGTGGTCCTTTAATAGTTGTGTTATAGCTAAATTGGAATAAGATTCCTGTTATTTTATGGTAGCAACATTTTCTGAATTTTTTTATTTTTTTGTTAGATCAGTTAGCAATGCCACAGTAATATCTCTTTAAAGTATAAAAAAAGTTCTGCATATAGAGCATCTCTTTTTGAGTAAAGGTGCGTGTGTTTGTTTTCTCATTCTTTTCAAAGAAACCTAGAATGTGACGGCAGATAAGAACCATTCAGCCCATCTAGTCTGCCCAATTTTCTAAATATTTTCATTAGTCCCTGGCCTTATCTTATAGCTAGGATAGCCTTATACCTATCCCATGCATGCTTAAACTCCTTTACTGTGTTAACCTCTACCACTTCAGCTGGAAGGCTATTCCATGCATCCACTACCCTCTCAATAAAGTAATACTTCCTGATATTAGTTTTAAACCTTTGTCTCTCTAATTTAAGACACTGCCCTCTTGTTGTGGTAGTTTTTCTTCTTTTAAATATAGTCTCCTCCTTTACTGTGTTGATTCCCTTTATATATTTAAATGTTTCTATTGTATCCCCCCTGTCTCGTCTTTCCTCCAAGCTATACATGTTAAGATCCTTTAACCTTTCCTGGTAAGTTTTATCCTGCAATCCATGAACCAGTTTAGTAGCATTTTTCTGAACTCTCTCTAAAGTATCAATATCCTTCCTTCTCAGTTTATGCTGCATTAGTTAAAGTAGTATAAATTAACCCTTTATGGGGCAGTCATCTACTACACATATAGAATTTGCCTCCCGAATGCTGTTAATAAATACCTCTTTACTCCATTGCTTTTTGATGAATGAAAGAGGCCATCTGTTTCAGGTTCGGTTGATCAGACTTGTTGGAATGATGATGCTTGTGTTTGCGAAGAAAGAACACTTCAAACACATCCAGGAAGTTGTAGCAGAATCTGTAGGAACAGGCATTATGGGGAAAATGGTAACTTTTTATTTTATTTTTTTTACTCTGTAAAATAAAAGAATGCTGAAAAAAAGTTCTGGTGCTCTTCTTTTTGTCATATTACATATTTTCTTACCTCTTCTTAGTTACCCTGTGAACTAATTAATTTTTTTTAATTATTTTTGTTTTGTTTATTTTTTTGCTCCTCTTTAGGGCAACAAGGGAGGTGTAGCCGTGAGGTTTATTTTTCACAACACGAGTTTCTGTTTTGTTAATTCTCACCTGGCTGCACACGTGGAAGATTTTGAGCGTCGGAATCAAGATTATAAGGATATTTGTGCTCGTCTGAACTTTACTGTACCTGACCAAAATATACCAACCTTAAACATCATGAGGCATGAGTAAGTTTCAGCAAAGCTGTGTTGAGATATTGTTGTTCTAAGTGTCATGTCAAATCTATATATTAAGCGGAAAAAATACAGGTTAGCTCCTAGAAATGCTGCAACATTTATATGGCAAATGTGCATGATCCTAACAAATAGGCTTTATGTCAGTAAACGAAAACTAGCAATCTTTCACTGTCAATTCTAGGTAGGTGTCACTGACCTAATGTTAAAGTAGAGTCCCCAACCTGCCCTCAACACTCTCTGTGGATCCATCCAAAGTTGGACAGTTAATGGTAAATGTTCACTTCAGCTTTAGTCAAGTTGATTCAGAACTTTAGATTCCAGGAGATTTTTTTTTTTTTACCACATGAAAAATGTTTTACACTAGCCCAGGCGACGGTGTACAAAGACTGTCTGGACTATAACCACTACAGCGAGCTGTAGTTATTATGGTATAAAGTGTGCCAAGCTCTCTAGGCACCATAACTACTATAGAGGTTATGATTTCAGGAGTACTCTGGTCCCTTGTCACATTAAGGAATCAAACAGTTTTTGTGTTTTTTGACACTTTCCTTTGTCTCTTGGATGTCCACTAAAGCAGAGGTTCAGTATTGGTAATATCCATTTTATCAAACTTTGGAGGGCGTTCTTTTGCTGAGGACTGTCATCTGGTGCTTCCAGCCAATTAAGACCTAGTAGGGACAAAATTGATATTAGTTAAGCAGAATGGTAACTTAAACCGGAAGGACCACAGAGCCCTCAAGAGACTGGGGTAAGAGTCAAACGGTTAAAAAATGATTTTGACTCCTCACTATGGAATGACATCGGGGAACTCCTGGCACCATCACTATTACAGCACATTTTGAGTTAATATGCAATGTATTAAATTATTTTGTGATTCCCTAATCATTTAAACTTAATCAAATCTTTTTACAGTGTTGTGATTTGGCTGGGAGATTTGAATTACAGGCTGTGTAAATATGATGTTGCAGAAGTTATAACCATGATCAAGAAAAATGACATTCATACACTTTTGAAGTTTGACCAGGTACATTAATTATTTAAACAATATAAAATAGTTATTTGTTTATGGTTTCTGTAGATATCTGGAAAGGTCAGCTCTTATTCAGCTATTCCTTTAGTTAGTTTAGGTAGACTTTTATTTTATCTTTATATATAAACTTCTATGTCACGTAAAGTATTTTTCTAAACATTTTGTCCTTGGTTACTTTTATTTCTATTTAGCTTAATATCCAGAGAGATTTCAAGAATGTCTTCTCAGATTTTATGGAAGGTCCTATCAACTTCATCCCGACTTACAAATATGATCCTAAAACAGATCGGTGGGACACCAGGTAACACTAAAATGTTGCTCCTTGTATAGTTTAACCTTTTCACTCCCAGTAACATGTATACATTAGGGTCAGATATATATGCATTCATACCTTAACTGCCTGTATACACATTTTTCAGCATTTGAATGAACTTTAATTGAAATAAAACGTTTTTGGAAAAAAATTAGTTTTTCTGTTTAAGTCCATTAATTAGTAACTTGAATTGCTTTTTCCCACTGTACTTTGTTATAGTGTCCCTGAGTAATGTCATGTTTTACTGACTTAAAAAGGTTTCTTTGCAATTAACCTGGTAATGAGAGGGTTAATGGGTTAAGGTGTATTTTTTTTTTTTTCTTTTTCTCTTCATTCAAACTTTCAAGGTTATTCACTAAGCCGTACATTTAATTTTAGGCCAATACATCACCTGTAGAAACCGGATATTGATTTCTCATTTTACTTTTTTGGCTTTAGTTTGGCAGTTTAATCTAATTTTCCAAAAAGTTCCATTTTAATTACTCTGCTAGCCTATAAATTAATCATTACCAATAGATACGTCTCCACCAAATAGTTGCTTCTGGTGATTCCAATTTTGGGGTTGTTAATGTAAAACTCCATATAATCCATCCTCCATGATTTCTAACACAGAATCAGAATGGTGCAATGTTTTACAGCTCTTTAACTTGGTTTCATGCTACACATTAAAGGAACAATTTCAGGTCCCCAGCTCTTCTCTTGAGAACTTCCATCTGCTAGTCGTGAACACTTGCTTACCTGACTGAACATGCTTTGCTCTGTGATCCCACTGAAGTCAGCACAATATGAATGCTTTACTGGGCAAGCAGTGTTGTCTTTGGACGAGTAAGCATGTTCTCCAGACTGAAGCTGAAATAAATGGCAGCACTGGTGGGAAGTGCTGAGAACCGGACAGCATTTTTTTTAGAAATATATTTCCACTTTGTGATCCCATTTTAATTGTGTTGTGATTACAAGTGCTTTCTCAGTACAGCATTAAATTCAAACGGACAGTCAAGACACCATAACCACTACAGCTTGCTGTAGTAATAATGATGCCAGGAGATTGACACTTTCCTTGCCTCCATTTACAACAATGAAAGAGAGATGTAGGGGGAAGTTCCCCTTCTGTAATCGCCACTATTATTCATATTTGAATAAAATTAATTGGGAGCATTACCAACACTCTAGTCCCTGAATCCTGTCTGTAAATAGGTGGAATTGGCATCACTAATACAAGTAGGAACCTGTGGCCTCGCTCTATCTATTTGAAAGGGACCAGAAAGGAGGGATGGGCAAGTGTCAGAGTAATTGAAAACCCTTTGACTACTTATTGTGAGAAGGCACCATGGGTCCTTGCTACTATGGAACATACAGCGGACTATAGTGGCTATGGTGTTTAGATTACCCCTTTAATATTTCTAGGTTCTGAACATTTGAATTTAGTTTACTCTATCTCCATATTTTTATATTTCTATAGTGTCTTTTCTTGTAAAGAAGGTGAAGACTGGTAGTAGGCATTTTTGATATGCTTGCTTGGGGGGACTTTTTATATCCTCATTATTATTGTGATTTAATGGGATCACAACAACGGGTTATTTTTTTAATTTTTTTTTATTTACTTAGCTGTAGTTTCAGATTATTTATTTTCTTTATATAGTGGCAAGTGTCGGGTTCCAGCCTGGTGTGATCGGGTCCTCTGGAGAGGAGTTAATATCAAGCAGCTGAAATATCGCAGCCATATGGATCTGAAAACCAGTGACCACAAACCAGTCAGCTCACTGTTTAGCATTGGGGTAAGAATTGTCAGTAAATTTCTTTCCTCTCGGCATAGTAGAGAATGCCAGTGTCAGTTTCTCCACGCTCCATAATAGTGTTGCGCATTTAAAAAAGGCTACATATTCACAAGATTATTCATAAAGCACAGTTAAAGCTGTAGGTATTAACTTCTGGATTTTAAGATTGATCATACAAATAAATGTGCAGCTTATATACTTAAATTTTATCTTTAAATATTTCTGCACCTTATCATCTAACAAATAAGTAAAATCTCACTAGGTGAAAGTGGTGGATGATCGCAGATACCGGAAGGCTTTTGAAGATATTGTGCGTATGATGGACAGAATGGAGAATGACTTTCTACCTTCCTTAAATCTCAGCAGCAGAGAGGTGAGAATTGCTATTCTTTTGTTGTAGCAATAAACATTTGGCTAAAATGTGTCTAATCTTGTATTTTCCACTTTTCCTAGAACTTTTAAATAGTTGAATTATACAGTTTTTCATTTATGAAGTAAAGTGCTCGCAAGCATAAAAAAACCCTAAATGAAGGAAGTGGTTTAATAGACGGGTGTTCACTTGTTACTGTTCAAATTTGGCTTGCAACATCTATAGGAATGTCAACATCCTACTGCATTGATGCTTTATGAGTAAATAATATATATATATACACACACACACACCTTTCTTTCTCAAGAGTGTCTGTTTAATGGTTTTGTGGTTTTTCCTCTTCAGTTTGCATTTGAAAGAGTACGATTTCGACAGCTTCAGAAGCAAAAATTTCAGATAAAGAATGATGGTCAAGTTCCATGTCACTTCTCCTTCATCCCTAAACTAAACGACACCCAATACTGCAAGACATGGCTGCGAGCAGAGCCCTGTGAGGGCTACTTGGAACCAGGTAGAACTTTGTTGTTTCTAGATAATGTCAACATCCTTTCTATCCTGTCCCATTCTTCTCAATCTCAAAAACTTTTGTGTTTTGATGCTTAGAGCTAATAATTTCCATGCACAATGGTAGTTGGTTAGTGGCAAAATATAATTTAAAGCCGTAGCAAATTAAATCTGACTGCAATAGTATAATGAACTGCGAGAGCTGCAATTTTGGAATAAATTGCAATTTGAATATTTTATGGTAGTGCTCTGATTAATCGGCCTATACCCATTTCAGTAAAAAGACTTTTCAGATTTGTGACATTAAGTGTATGCGTAAAGCCTTGTGTTTTGAGAAATAGCATTGTTGCATGCTGCAGTTGTCAAAATGAGTGTTGAATCACACAACATTTTCTCTGAGTCTGAGACCCAACGGATTTATACAACTAAGAGTTTTGTGAATAAACCTTCCCGTTTTGCTGTTAAAGGTATTTTTTTTAAAGAGCACCAACAGCACAACAGCTGTGGTATTGTGTCTTAATGCAGTTCCTGCAGTCTAATACATGTAAGACCGATTTGACAAATTTGTAAAATTTCTGAAAAAACATCAATGTTTCTATTTTGCAGAATGCCTACAGTAGTGTCTTTGAATGCCTTCATTTTGTGAAGGCGTTCACATATCTTGTCATGCTGCTGCTAAATAAACTCTTGTTAAATCTCCATAGCAATTCTTCTCCTTAAGGAGAATCTGATTGGCCAATGTGGTATGTGCTGCATGGCAATGTAAGTTGCCATAATACAGACAGTGACTCGAGTATAAGTCGAGTGGGGGTTTTTCAGCACAAAAAAATGTGCTGAAAAACTCGACTTATACTCGAGTATATACGGTAATCTCTCTTGTAATGTGCTTTAGGAGGCAAAGTGTTAATACAACTCTTAAATTCTTTGTTTAAAATTCAAAATGTAAAATTTACTCTCATTGCCTGTGAAGATCTTTGGTGCCGTTTCAAACCACCAGCCTGCTAGTGTTTGTCTCTGACAAACAAGAAAATAAAATGTGAAACCAGTTTAAAGGTTACCTAGATCTGGCACCATGCAGTGTGAACTTCTAAAATTTACAAAAAGCAGTATTCACATGAGAGAGATCACAAGTAAATTCCTATTTCCTCCTCATGTAGATGTGAATTAATATTTAAAAAAAAAAAAAGAGTAGTGTAGAGGGGGCAGATGAATGGAAATGTTAGACCTTTCTCCACATTGCAATGTATCTTACTTGATCTGTGTACACATTTTTATGATGCATTGATTTCCTTGTACATTTCTGTGTATTATGATGCGGTGCTTGGTTTATCATCTTTACTCATTATGATATAAACCTCAATAAAAGAGCAGTGTTAGGTGCCGAAAAGTTAAAGAAACACTACAGCGTTAGGAATGCATAACTGTATTCCTAATGCTACAGCTCTAGTGCCACTGTACAATTAGCTCCTCTTGCCCAGTAAACAACAACAACAACAAAAACATGAAATCTTTTTTTAAACTAATTACTCGTCCTCCTCCAGCGCTGCCACAAACTCCTCCTTCAGTGACATCATCCTGGAGGCTGTGTTGCTTTAATGTATTGAACATCTTACTTCAGTGTGATTAACTCTTGTATCAGAAGTCATTCTACAGGACAGCCTATGCATGTTCTGTGTCCCTGTCCATTCCAAGAGATCACAAAAGTGAAGGAGCTTTGCAGTGGCAAGTAACTTTTATCTGTATCTTGTAGCATAGAACTTTAAATATTCACTCATAATGTATAATTAGTGAAAGTACACATCCTATTTAACAACAGGACTTTACAAAAACAGTTTTCAGCTTTAAATCTAATTAAAAGCTTACAGGGACACTACAGTCACCAGAACAACTACAGCTTATTGTATTTGTTCGGTTAAGTATAACCATTCCCTTTAGGCTTTTTGCAGTAAACACTGTTTTTTTTCCAGAGAAAAGCAGTGTTTACATTACAGCCTAGGGATACTTCCACTGGCCACTCCTCCGATGGCTACTAGAGGTGCTTCCTGGGGCAATGCTGCACAGTGTGCAGTACTGTCAATCAGTGTCTCCACCCTCTGCATAGAGACACTGATCTTTCCTCATAGAAATGCATTGATTGGCCAGGGCTGTGTTTTTGTCTTGTGCTGGCTCTGCCCCAGATCTGCTTCCTTGACCGTATTGGGCTATCCAGTGCTTTCCTATGTGAAAGCATTGTGACTGGCTGAGAGAATCACTTCTGATGTTTCAGCCAAGCAGGCAGATCAGGGGGAGAGCCAGCAGCAGCAGTCTGAAATAAAAGTAAGATTTTGCTATATTTAGAGGGTCCAGGGTGGGGGCTAGATGGTGTTTTTTAACACTGCAGGGTCAGGAATACATGTTTGTTTTCCTTTCCCTATAGTGTTCCTTTAATTTCAGTCTTGGTTTCTCATTGTATTAAATTTTCTGGATTTTTTTTTAAGTTTGCCTTTTTGATGGTTTAATAATATTTTTATACTTTCCTAGATGAAACTGTTGATATTAACCTGGATGTTTACGTCAGTAAGGACTCTGTCACAATGCTCAACTCTGGGGAAGATAAGATTGAAGATATTTTAGTTCTTCATCTTGACCGGGGCAAGGACTACTTCATAACCATCAGTGGAAGTTACCTAGTGAGCTGTTTTGGCACATCATTAGAGGCACTGTGCCGAATAAAGAGGCCAATTCGTGAAATTCCAGTTACAAAACTAATAGATTTGGTGAGTTGATTTGAGTTGTTGTTTTTTGGGGGGGTGGGGGAGGGGAGATGGGTTCATGAAAACTATTATTTCTTCCTTTAGTGGTTTTGCTTTAGGATTTAGATTTTTTTTTTTTATCATAACTATTCTGTGGTTTACATATATTATCCCCCCTCCCCACCCAAATTGTGAAGACCTTTTGAATTCTGTTCCATGAAAGTGAAACATTGTTTTAGATGTATAATAATGAGTGACAGAGTACTCTACTCGCCAATACATTGTGATATTCTTTTTTGATAGGGCAAATTCGGTGCACCTGGCCATACATTTTTCTTGAATGTGTAACTATTTTGCGACAAAATATATCTCCCATCACAACAAACCAATATTTTGAAAATATTTTTCACTTTTGTACAGAAAGAATTATTCTATGCTACTCATTTTTAAATTATTTTTCACGTTTCAGCCCTTTACATCCAAACACCCAGGAAAAAAAATCATAAATGTTAGTATTTGTGTGTTTTTTAATAATATTATTTTATTTGTGCAGGTGTTTTTTTTATTTTTTTAAATTTTTTTTAGCCCTTTTCTCCATCTGCAAGCATTCAGATCATTATTTCAATATATTTTTTCCTCCCCCTTCCCTCTTTCTATAACTTCCTACACTACCTATGTCAGTGCAGTCAAGAAAGGTTGAGCTTGATGGACGCAAGTCTTTTTTTTTCTTCAGCCTATGTAACCCTGGTGTGCAATGCATTCCTATTTTAATCAGAATAAATGCATATACATTGTGGCTTTCAAATGTGATGGCAAATATATTGGTAGTTTTCTCTTATGTGTGAAAATGTATCTCTCTTCACACAACAAAAAATATACATTACTAATCTGCTCCTGGACATTGGATTATGGAAGAAATTTTCATTGAAGAATAGAATTTCTTCTTTTTATTTTCAAGCTAGTCTATATCTTGAATACATTATATAGATTAGTTTCTTTAGAACAGCAATCATTATCTTTGTAGATACACATAATATAATTTGTCACTGAGTATGTATTGAGAGTTGTTTTTTTTAATTACTATCTATCCTGCATATTATGAGATGTTTACCTTAAATTGTCAGAGAAGTAAATGTGATTCGTTTTAAAACACCCAGACACATTCCCTTATAGTCTGTTTTCTGTCTTTCGGGCCAGGATATCTCACATTTTCTTTTCCCCCCTCTTTTTGCCTCCTGCTTTACAATTCGCTCTTAGGGAGAAGACAACTTCTCAGAGAAGGTAACATAAACTAGGATCTCTTACCTTACTGTTCCTTTTCTTGCACTTTTTGACATTGTCTTCAAAATGTAATACAATTAACAAAAAAAAAATGTTTTTAAAGACTTTGAATTTTAAGCAGTCCTTGGATTTTTAAAATTTATTTATAAAAGAAGCTTTGTATTTTATTATCTGATTTGTCTGGGCAGCGAAATGAGGAGAGGGCAGTCACAGCATTCCCTTTTTCCATATATATGTAAGCACACTATACTGGATGAACAGTAGGTTATTAAAAAACAAATCCAAGTTCTTCTTAAAAGCTGAAAGCCATTTTCATTTTATAAGTAAGAACAATGTCAAAATATAGTTGCCTATCTATAGCCGTATCATCAAATCCATAAGTTAATCTGACAAACTGACAACTTTCATTAGTTGATCTATAAAAGTAGATGTTCATAGTATGCCTACATCATTTTTTTGCTTTTGAATCATAGAGGACAATTGTTAAAAGTTTATGATGTTTGTATTTACAAAACATTCACAGAAGTTCTTAAACTCAAGCAAGTTTAGCTGACTCCTTGTTTCATGAATGAGCATGTCGTCCCCCCCCATTGCAATTTAGCTTACACAGACAGATCGTAAGCTTCGACAATCGCTATCAAAACCAGTCCAATGGGCAGTAATGGTCTTTTGGATTCCATGGTTACTGCTCCACTGTCAGATATATACCTCTAACAGTTCAATTTAGAGTCTGTAGGTAAAGATACAGCATCCTCTGGTTTTTTGTTTTTGTTTTTTTTTTCTTGTGTAGAGTTGGTAGTAAAGTCCTCAAGGAAATTCTTATTGTGAATCTTAGAGACTTGTCAGATTAACAGGTTTTTATTTATTTGACCTTCAAAGTTTGCAATGTCTGTCTTGACTTTAAAGGGACACTATAGGCACATTTTTATTTTTTTTAATGTAGCGTTTGTTGTGTACAGCTCATGCCCCTGCAGTCTCAGCATTTAATTATCTGCCCTATAGGCGTTAAATCATTTTGTTTATGCAGCCCTAGCCACATCTCTCTTGGCTGTGACTCACATAGCCTGCATCAAAAAAAAAAAAAATTTCAATCCGTTGTTAATTTCCTTTAGAAATTTTTGCCTTCTGCTTTGTAATATGAACCAGCAGTACCTGCAGGCTAGTAAAAGAACATGAGATAAGAAATTCTAAATTAAACAGAATGTACAATAAAGGAAGTTTAACCATTAGATGTCTTTTTACAGGAAGTGTTTAGAAGGGCTGTGCAAGTCACATGCAGGGAAGTGTGACCAGGGCTCCATAAACAAAGTGCTTTTAACTCCAAAATAGCAGAGTATTGAGTGGTGAGACTGCAAGAGTACACCAAAACTGCTTCATTAAGTTAAAGTTGATTTGTGGTATATAGTGTCCCTTTGACATGCATGGTCTCTGGGAGTCTTTTAGTTATCTGGTGATTTTTCTGCATTTCCATGCTTCAGAGGGATTTAGTACTGGGTTAATTTCTATATATTTTTTGCCGTTCTCTGCATTACTTCCATCTATCATAATCCTATATATATGTTACTTGTAGTACAATTCATGAACAGATTTGACTGAGTTGTTTCATTACTCTGTTGGTCATAATCAATTTGATTAGTTGATTAGATTTAAAGCCAAATGCATTCTAGAATTCCTTCTTATCAGTAAACCATGCTGTGTGACAGATTCCTGGCTAGATCCAAAGAGCAGGAATTAATGTAATGTTATATTCATTCGCTTTAATCTAATAGTTCAATCGACTTTACAATTCTTCCTCTACAACTTCAGTCAAATGCTGTCACAAGGGAATCTTGTGGTTGTGAAGAAACGAGTTATGTAAAAGAAAACCTTCTGTTCTTGTAGTAATTTCCTGATACACTGCTGTCAACATGCAAAACTAGTAAATTCGCTCTCCGTGCATGAGATGAGTGTAAATAAAATATATAAATGTATGCAGTAATTATGTATCACTGTAGGAAACCCCATGAAATGAGTTGGTACCCGTCATGGTAGTTTGAACAAAGAGCATGAAATTCTATCTATACAGATTTGCTAGCAAATGTATAGATTGGGAGAAATCATGACTTTAACAGATATTTCTCCCAGGAATCATGTGTTGTAGAATTGAGTGACAGTGAGAGAAGGAGAGCAGAAGAGACTTTTCACAGTTGTTCCATGTGGTCACCAATCTTATCAACCTCAACACGTGCTGGGTGTGTCTCTTTTAACTCCTTGTCCGACTCTGCTAGTGCTGGCTGGGTGATATAGCAGGCACCAGCATGCTGGCAATAAACCTAGCTTGTTGGTGTTATAGAGGAGGTTAGCCCTGCTTGTGGAAGTGTCCCAAAGCAGGGCAAATCACATAAGAGTGCAGGTGTTTTGGAAAGACTAAACAAGTAAACTGCAGCAGCCTTAGTTTAACTGCTATCCATTTATAGAGTAGTTACACTCATCCTATGTAATTAGTTGAACTGCTGCCAAGCGGGGATAAACGCCTATCGAGAAGAATCCATGGGCCACAATGAGACATTTTTGGTTGGTGGAGACTCTGCCTTGACTGGTAGTGGTTTCTAATGCTACTGAAATTTATGTACAAGTGTAACATTACACACATAAACATTTCTATTTATTTTTTCTTTAATTTTGTATTTCTCCACATTGTATTTTAAGTAATTTCCTTTATAATGCTTTAAAATATAGGTGGCCATTTTGCACATAGTTGAAGAACCATTTTTGCATAGAGAGATTTTTGATTTGATCTTTTGAAATATTCCGCTTTCTCTTGTTGGACTTCTTTTACTCCAGGAGAGAGCCATTCTCCAGAATTTGCCAGACATTGACGGTACCTCCGACAAGCCCCTGAAGATTCCAAAAGAAATCTGGCTTTTAGTCGACCATTTGTATAAAAATGCATGTCGCCAGGTAAGTGGGCTTCAGAGCGAACACTAGGTGATTTATTCACTAAAACGTTTTTTCTTTTTGTTTGTTTTTTCTTGTATATATTATAAACCAGAGTTGCTTAATATAGGCTTAAAATTTTGCCAGAAGCAAAATTAGGAATATGATTGTGGTGCAGTGGGATTTTTCTAATTGTGATCTAAATTTTGTGTTGGTCTGTTCACCTGAATTCATAGCTACTGGATACACTTTTACATCTATAATTGTTTTATTCCAATTTCTGGTATTGATGTTATAATGATGTTTTTCACAAGTCATTTGGTGAAAGTTACATAAATAATAAATAATATAGTTAAAATGCATAATTTACTTTACTTTGACTTCTCTAAACTGTGTTTAGTCATACAAAAGACTGGTTGTGAAATATATATTGCTCTCTTCTCTTACAGGAAGATCTTTTTCAAACACCTGGAAGACAAGAAGAGTTGCAGAACATTATTGATTGTTTAGATACCAGCATTCCAGAGAACATACGTATCCTTGATTATGAACTTTTTACCACACTTCGTACGTGCACACAAATGTTACACACACTTACGCCATTGAAAATTGTAATTATTTTCAATGGTAAAACTGATGTACCAAATAAGGAACTCTTCACATACAGTGTGTTGCGTAGTAAATTGCAGATGTTAAAGATTCGTACTTTTTATTATGATTATTTATCCTCATTGGAAAATGGCCCTTATACCTTATGTTTTCATCTGTTAGAGCATTGATATCATCATTGCCTTAGAACCAGGTTCGATTCCTGGTCCGACCACCTTACGTAAGCTTGATTGCGAAAGCCCTTCTTCACCTCTTCCCCATTCTATAATTGTGAAGCGCTGCAGAATATGTTGGCACTATATAAATACTAATAACAATCATTTTAAACAATCATGCTTTAAAGGAACACTATAGGCATCAAAACAATGTTAACTTAATGGGGTAGTTTTGGTGGATAGATCATATTCCTGCAGTCTCACTACTCAATTTTCTTCAATTTAGAAGTTAAATCATTTTTGTTTTTATATCCTGCGCTGTACATTTAACTTTAATCACACTCAGAAGGCTCCTGCTGGGTTTATAAGGCTATTAACCGAGCAGGAGATAAGAACATCTAAATTAAGCACTTTGCTATAAAGGAAGTTTAAACATTAGATGTCTCTCTTTACAGGAAGTGTGTAGGGAGGCTGTGAAATTCACATGCAGGAAGGTGTGTGTGGGGGGTGTATAACAAAAAAATAAATAAAAATATTTAACTCCTAAATGGCAGATAATTTAGTAGTGAGACTGTGGTGGCATAATCTACACACCAAAACACTAACCTAAAATTGTTTTGGTGTCTACGGTGTCCTATTAAGTGATCACAATCCTTCCAAACAAGAGTGATCTACTTATTAATGGACCATATGACCAATTATCAAATTCAAAACCCCAAAAAATGGATAATCCAGAGAATATTCTTTTTTTTGACTGTTAACCTATGCCCAGAAAATTGTCATAGGGTTTACATATGAGCAACGTGTACCTCCTTGTACTATACTGAAAATGTCCGAATTGAGCATGCCTAAAGAGGAAATGACACTTTCTCACTTTTAGCACTACCAAATAGCCAACTAAAAGTTATTGGCAGTGCATAACGATTTTAAAAACTCCTTTCCTTCCTAATTTAACTTGCATGTTTTACCAAGCATAGTTTGTACATTAGTTAACTCTCACAGTGCCATGCTCAATAAAAATTGGTATTTTTATGAATCAACCTTGTTACACCTCCCTGGCTGTCAATCAGACAACCGAGTCTGTTACTTCCTGACTTGGTTAGCTCAGTGAAATTTAAGAGGAAGCAATTGCTCAGAGCACCTGCACTTGCCTTGCAAAGACTTCTCATTGAGCTGCATTGGGAAGTCTGTGATTGGACAGCCACATAAATTCTGGGCAAGGTTAGAAGAGGATGGTTTGTAAAGGCAACAGATGGAAGATGCACCTCTTGCAAACTATTTTTAGATATGCCCCCAACGATAAAATGCACAAGTAACAGAATTCATGTTTTCATTGGAGGTATATTTACTAAACAGTGATTTTTATTTGGGCAGTGGGGGTGTTTCTTTAAAGGAACACTCAAAGTATCATATGGTGCCAGGAGTGTCAGTGGTTGGCTTTCTGCATATGTTTTGCATAGGGTTATTTTGTATTGCGTGTTATAGAGACGTCTGCGTGCATATAAATGCCATCACAATATTAGATTTTTTTTTTTCTGTCCATATTGTTACATTGTATATGTTATGTTTTAAGGCGAATGCACTATTCTTGGTTTGTATCTTGCCTCCTTAATATTGTTCCCCAGCTGGTAGCAACCATTCTGTAGCCGAAGCACTACTAATCTTTTTGGAAGCTTTGCCAGAACCGGTCATCTGTTATGAGCTTTACCAGAAGTGCATAGATTGCTCCCATGACACAAGACTCTGTAGACAGGTGTGAATAACTAATTCTAGATTGATTGATAACTGATTGGCTTATGCCATGTTGTAAATACAGCTTCTAATCCTGTGTTCCATGTGCAGGTGATCTCTCATTTGCCACGTTGCCACAGAAATGTTTTCCGATATTTAATGGCGTTTCTGCGAGAGTTGCTCAAGTACACTGGAGAAAACAATCTGAGCGCCAATATGATTGGTAAGAGGCCTTATGGATAAATGGAAATAGATAAGATATGAGAGAGGTTTTGGAATGCATATGGCTGTCCCACAGTCACCTGTGTATTCTTTTTTTTAGAATTCCACAGTTTATACGGACATATTCTTAGTCATACCAGTTCATAGCAGCAGTGTGCACTTGCTACAGGCTGAATTCTTGCTACATTAGCCTGGGCAGCACAGCGGAGATGGGCTGCAGTGGACTCTGATTTAGCATTAAAACATTAAAAATGGTTTGCTACTGAACGGAAGGATGGAAACAGGGGAATCCAGGCACTATAACCACTTCACTGATTTGAAGCATTTTCAGTACCTACAGTGTTCCTTGAAGATAGCATGAGGCATAAAGTCTCTGTTGCAAACGTGCTGTATTAACTTGTTTGTAAAATTTAGAAATTAATTTACCTTAAAGTTGTGCTTGCATTTAGTTATGGCTTATGACTAACAAAATCACCCAATGTTTATATTACATTTAATTCCAGTTTTTATTTTTGGTTTCCCTACCAATATTGATAAGTTTCTTTTCTTTCTGATAATATATGTATGCAAAATGTTAATGGTTTTGGTAACATATTAAATAATATATTTATTACTGTGTAATTTGTATAGTGGCCCCTTATTTACTTTGGCACTCTGTTTAACCTCTTTTAGATACTGAACTCGTTGCTGCACTGTTCCAAAATACACCACAAGTCACACTTTTTATTTTTTCTGACTTATTCCTGTGTCTAGTGTTGTTAATAGATATATTTTCTGTGGTGTAAATATTTCCATTTTCTTTCTTCTCAACAGCAACAGTGTTTACCAGTCTCCTGCTACGGCCTCCACCAAACCTAGTGGGAAAGCAGAGCCCAAGTGAACGCCAGCGAGCAATCAACTTTATCCTTGGATTTTTGCTAGCAGGTGATGAGGAGTAAAAGTGACAACCCTGGGGCTGTAAGGTGTTCTGTTAAAAGAACATAGAAAATGGCTGTCACATCCGATGGCACAAAAACTAAAGGCTAGACTGTAACCTGGAACTTTGGAGAAAGGGGTGGTACTTATATTTGTGGCAGGGACAATAATGAACACCCCACATGACACATTTCTCGTACTGTAGCCATTCTTGGTCGACGGTGGAAATCTAACAACATGCTTCAAGGAAGGACAGAAGTTTTTTATTCAAGTTATAATTCACATGGTGTTAGACCAGTTTATGTATGTGTTTTTTTTTGTTTTTTTTTTTGGTGGTCCATGTAAACAAGTCATCTTCTACATTAGATTTGAACCCGTCCCTATTCGTGAACTCTTATCTGAACGCTAAACACTGGTGCCATAGTCATTGTCAAACCTATTTGTGACCTCTTTCTATTTAAGTGCCCTTGTTCTCTGTTCTGAGGTTGGCATTCTCATGGTACATCAGTTGATTCAAATGGTTTTGTATAATTGCATTTCACACTTAGAATTGAGACTTTAAATTAGTAATGTGAGTCTTTCTTTGCTCACTGTCCATCCTCGACTATTTTACACACATTTTAAATACCTGTCCTCACTTGGGTATCTAGTAAATGTATTTATTGAAGCAATGGTGCGTTTCTTACCACACACTTGTAAATATGGTGATAACCTTCTTGGAAAATTCAAAATCTAGCGAACGGTGGCGCACATTTTACATTCATGCTTTCCAGTAGACTTATACTAATTACAGTACTCTATAGCATTAATACTAATGGCACTATAATTAGAAATGAAAAAGTTGGTAGAATTTTAATATTGATAATTTGTTGTAGAAGCGCTCTCTCACCATTTGTGGCATTTGCTGTATGACTCTAATGTTAAAACATTTATGTAAAAAGCAATGGCAGAATTGCAGGAAGAATGTAAACGTGTATAAATCATGAGGCAGAGGATATCCTAAATCATGAAAGGTACCATTCTATTTAGATAAATTATGGCCAAAGTAAGGATTCAAAAGCACACCCACTTTTTTTTTTTGGCAACATATACATTTTCATTGTCTGCTGCCCCAGCAATAAAACTTTTTTTCAGGAAACTCCTTGAGCTATGTGGCTACAGGATAAAAATAGATTCCAATGAAAATAGAAATGGAGCATAGTTTGAAGTGATTGCAAACAGCAGGACTTGAGGGCAAGGAAAAATATCAAATACAAGGTTCCTAATGTATGATTTAATAATACTATAATTGCTCTCTGCAGAATACGCAGAACAGTCATTGGGTTTGGCTCTATTTTACGGTACATCATTTCAACATTGCGTTGCGTCGTGTCACGTCATGTGGTATTTTTGCAAACCAGGCAGGGCCAGACTGTTTTATAATCATATGTGGTAGCATTATACATTTGCGTGCAGTTCTTCTAGGATAATGTATAATAAACGTGCTCTACATTTGTACTGTATACACTGTTATACTGTGAGAAATGGGCTTTGGCAAACTTTCACAAGTCTTCATTGCTTCCAAGGAATATTAAGAGTCACTGTGAATTTATAACTAGATGGCAAAGAATCTGATTTGGAGATTTGTGTACTATATCAAATAGAGATCGATGTACACAAGAAAGTGGTTGGAGTAGCCATGGCGTAACGTTGTCTACTTCCCTGTACATAACAAATCTTCAGATTGTGCACACCTGATAGATGAAGTCTTTGTTTCACTGAAGGAGGAAATGCCATCAGCCGCATTGATATGCTTTGGCACTGGCACATGCATTCTCTTCCTGGATCTAAATCCTACATTACTTTTGGTTCATTGTTTCATGCATCTAATCCCTTTCTGTAATCTGTCGTTTTCATCTGCATACGTAAAGCTGAGGGTAAACCTCTGAAATGTCTATTCCCATGGCAGAGATAGTTAAGGTGAACTAATTAAAATGGCAATGTTGCCTTTTTGTTTGGTTTGCTGCACTTAAAACACTACATAATAAAATAAAAAAATATTTAAGTAATAATTTTTTATTTTTTTTGCTATGCTTAAAACCATTTTTATGAGCTGCATTAAATGGCTGTCATGGCCATATTTGCAAGTTATTGTCGTTGCTTTTCTGCTGAAACAGTGGTTTACAAGTCCAAAAGGCAGGGGGCAGGTGTCAGTGTGGTTTGTGAACTGTTACCTAGCCGTGATTTTAGCCACGTCATAGACGAGTCTATTGAGAGCCTGCACCAGTTACAATGGACTTATAAGACATATTCCCATCGCGCAAGATCTGGTCCGTGAAGTGTCAGTGAAACTTACCTGTGCTAAAGCTGGTATATATTGTTATTCTGACCTGTGCATGACACGTAAAGATAGATTGAAGAACATCAAATTAAACAGTGTCCTGTCATGACTTGACGGTCAAGTGACTCTTGCTGCTATGGACCCTGGAGATAAATGTTATTTCAGTGCTTATGAAAATCCAAGGACTCTGTGCTAATCCATGCTAGCGTTTAAGGAACAAAGAGGGTTAGTCTGACTTTTTTGTTATTTTTTTTATTTATATAAATCTGTGAGGATTGGTGTCAGTTCACCACTTCTTTTGTTAGTGAAAGAAGCCCCATAGTGTTCATGCTGCATATTTACATGACATTGACTGAAAAACAAAGTATATGCAATTAATATTTAATATGTATTAATTCCTGCCAGCAACATTAAACACGTTTTTTTCCCCTCTGTGCATATATTTTAAATTGTAAACATTTATTAACTCCCCCATCGCTTTATTAAAATAATATTTTAAAGTGTCTAATTTCAATATATATTCTTAAAAGGTATGTTTTGTTTTTAGTTTATGTTTGTATGTGTGTTTTTTTTTTTTTAAATGCATTTATTGAGCACATTGAATCTATAAAATGATTGGGTCAGAGCCGCTACCATTCTTCAGTGGACATCACAGGTCCATTAAATTGTGTATGCCTATTAATAATAAGTTACACATATTTGCTGTGTGTATTGTCCTACTTTAATACAAAAGTTATTACTTTTGTTGCTATTAATACTTTTTAAGGGCATATCTGGATTATCAGTGGCCTTTCGGGCTGATAACTGGTACCAATATTCAGCCAGTGCTGTACTGGGGAAGAGGTGGTCCACCCTGGGTGCCACTTACACTGGAAATGGGGTGGCTGGTATCTAGCGCACGTCATCTTCTGTTTACAGCAGGTCCTTTCTCCAACTCTTGCAAGCCTAATATGGCGTGCAGAGCAGATTGATGGCCAGGGGCTTGAGAATTGTAGAGAGGAACTGAAAATATCGCGTGTGCTGGGATTCTGCTGCCACCCACATTGTCAGCAATATCGATATCATTATAGGTCGATACCGGTATTTGATTGCCCAAACCGATAATTGGTTGATCCCTAAATAATACTTATATAATAATGACGTGTAGGAAGCAATTACTTTACCATGCTCTTATCCCCCTCCCCTGTAAAATGATAGATATGCTTCCCCATCTTATTTGTTCTCAATACTGTAGAAATATGATTACGGTACATTTTTCACACCATGCCAGTTATAGATATTAACCCCTTACAGACAAAGGACATCCCATGCTGAATCACATGATTATAATAAGCCAGACTATATGATGATGTCACCAGTACTTATAGGTATACTTTAATGGCTGTGGTGCAAGGAGTGCCCTGGAGTGCTCCAAAGGTAAGTATTCAAACCATTTTGTGAACAATTTTACAACTTACATGGTGTCCACTGGGTGGTGTTTTCTCCTCTTGTGCAGCACTTTGGGCTTAGCTCTTCGGAACTAATAGATGCTCTTTGCAGAATCTTCAGGTTCCAAAGACGACTGACCGATGCCCAGAGCACCCTAGGTAAATTGTAAAATAGTTTGACTACTTAGTCTAGGATGGTGCCAGGGCACTCTTCACAACACAATCTCTACATCAGCCTGTAGTGGTTATGGTGCTTGGAGTTTTCCTTTAAACTAACCTATATTTCCAACAGTATAGTGTCCCTAGTTATATCCACTCTGTAAAAGTAATTAAACAAATACATTTTAAACTTACCTTTTTTCATGTAATCGGAAATAGTGTTTGTCTTGTGCCATGTACTCAGATATAGTATAATGAAGTAGGCAAGCTATTTACAAAGCTTGCAGTTTAAGATATGATTAGGAGAAATTTCAAGGCAATAATGCACCTGTCACTTGTTTTTTCTCTGTTCTATCTCATGCGATTCAGGTATATAGTTTGCAAAAGTTTGCGTGTAACTGCGTTGGAGGGTTTTATTGAAATAGGTTTCGCTCTATGAAAAATGTCTGTTTTCCAAATTCATGAGGATCGGACTAATTTCCAATAACAGCCTAGTGAAATGTTTGACAAGGTTGTCCACTCATTTGCAAATTCAAATTGTATTCCACAGTATCAGAATTTAGCCCAAAACTTATTGCGTTGAATATCCAACAATTCAGACTTCAGTGAATATTCTAATAAATGTATAGATTTGATGCAGAATACTTTACATTTCATAGGATTAAGAGTATATCACTAGTTGACTTGAGAAATGTTGCTGTCTGTAAATTTTATATCTATTTTGGAATTATTTCATATTTTTACCAGTGTACGGACAGCTTCATATGGGAGCAACACAATATGGACCGAAAACACAAATGGGCACCAGAATGGCCAGTCTGTGTTGAATTTTGTTGCTTACTGCCCTACATTTTGTCAGTGAATAGTGCCAGACATTTTTATTACAGCTTTGAATTTCAAATAAATATTCACATTATTTCAGTTACGCACAAGTCTCTGTATAAAGAGAAACCATTCATTGTGGCGCCTTCCAGCTGCTTAGCTGGGGGATATACTGCATTATCCGTTTTTCTTGTCAGTGGTTTATTCAAGATAACCAGTTACTTTTGGGGCCTTTGAATTAACTTTTCCCCAATAATTACTCCCCAATATCAGCAGGTGTGAATACAGGGAGTGCCAGTGATGCTGTTCACTGGGGACACTGAGGAACAGGATCTGGTCTTCAAAATTAGTGGCTTGTCAGTGACTTATCGTATGTGGTTCAGTGTAGCTGATTCGGAAATTGTAGCTGACCAGAAAATCATGCTTTGCCTCTTTTTTTTTTTTTTTTTGTCATTACATATCCTTTAATTGCATAGGAATTTCAGTGGGAACAAAAACTGCCTGTATACAATCTCAGAAGCAAGATGTTCACTATTCCTACTAATTTTAAGAACATTGTTCTTTAGACATAATCAGCAATATGTGTTATAGAAGGATTCAATAATATGATTTTCTTTTTTATTTCAATTCAATTTTTATACCATACATATTTCTCAATTTTTTTATGACTATTAACGTTTGTTTTGTAACTGGTCTGGTTAAGTGATATCAATTTATGTTCATATTAGGGACACTCTTCTATTAACATTTAGGTGTGAACTGGTAAACGAATGAAAACATTAATGTCATAATAAATGTAATACCGTTATTGTGAAATTAATTCTATCTGCTTTAATGTTTTTACTGAACACCTTTTCTCTTAACTGGAAAGTTTGGTTTAGTCTAAAGGTTTAATGTGGTGTTTTTTGTGTGTTTTTTTTTTAAATGTCTATATTGTTTGTAAGAAAAGTCACCAAAGAGTTAACATTGTATGTGTACACGGATCGTTCATAGTCGCCAAAGCGAGTTCTGTGCAGGCAAGATAATTTCATAGAGGCTGTCTCTATCCAGTATATAATTACAGCCTGATGTATCAAAGCCAATGTCTTTTAAATACCATATTGAAAGATTTGTCAAACATTCCTAATAATGTCTTCTTTTTTTTTTTTTTTTTAAACTGTGGCAAACATCCAGCACAAGACTTTATATTTTGTTACTCACTACAACTTTGAAAGTATACTGCTGTTTTAAACATACCGTAGATGATAGCTCAAAATTTTCAAGTGTCGCCATTAATCTCGGGGGCAGACATTTCCAGTGGTTTAATGCTAAATGTTAAAATTGCCAAACAAAAGTTTAAAAAATATGTGCCTTTAAAATAACAACACATAATTGGAATTATCGTTGCCCCTGTATATATTATATTTCTTTATTCCTTAAATCAGGAGATTAAACAAAATAAGAACATTTTACTTATCAGTTTATTTTTATTCCAAAGTATTCTAAACGCAATTGCATAGATATGGGTTTATCTCAGGTGTGTTCAGGAGTGACAGTAAGGATGATGCTGGACAAAATTTCCCAGAATTCAATGCCATAAATGTCTAGCAAGCGAGGGCCAAGTTTGGAAACCCCAGGGAATGGAGGGGAGGTGGGGGGGGGAGGGAGAATTATAGCCAGTTGTTCTAGTGTCACTATGTAGACCGTTATTTTCATTCTATGTAGAACTTTATAATGTATGACAATTCTTACATGTTGTGTCTATGTGTTACACATCTGTGTATTACAGTATATTTCTTAAATCCTGGTATTCTTTGTGATCCTGCAGTAAATCTGTTGCACAACTGTCTTCACCTTACACTTGGACTTACACCGTTTTTGCTGTTTATAGTTAATGTAATATTTTCTTATTTTCATTTACTCTGATTGGATCTCCTTGTTGTCTTGCCATACTGAGTCAGGAGGAGGCTCTACGCATTTTATTTGTTGGCCCCTTTTGTAACAGTGAAGTCTTTCTCTATCATCCTTGGTTTATTTTATTTTTTTATATGTAGATGAATAATTTATTTCCTAAAGAAAATGTATACAAAATAAAAATACATTTCATTGTGCAATCAATAAAATACCTGTACCATAAACATTTTATTTTGTGCTGTGTTTATATAATTTAGAAGAGTCTATGTAACTCTTTCTGCAAGAGATTGTTAACCATTCTAATTGCTGTACAACGCAACACAAAAAAAACAAAACAGTATGTAGCCTCACTTAGACACTAGGGGGCATCTGAAGCTCTCCATTCACTGCAGGTCTGTAGCAGCATCAGACTTGTCTTCTATAGCTTGTCATCAAGAAGTATATGAATGGTGGCACTAAGTGTTGTTAAATTTGCTGGAAAGAGTGAGACACTGTATCTTATTCTCCCCAGCAGCTCACTCCGTCAAGGAGTCTGATGCCAACGTTTTCTTTACTGGTCCTCATTTGGCGGAAATGGTTGTAGGGACAAATTTAATAACAACAATTGCATCTATACCCCAAGAGGGAAATTGCATATATTTTATGTAGACGGGGTCAACAAAGAAAGCACCAGTAAGGATGTGTGTATCTGTATTGCATTCTGTAGCAGTAACTGAGGCACTCCAGCTATTGTGAAATAAATTGTCATATTGGTGTAGTATATTGCATAATCTTATCTCAATGCTCTACATTTTTATATTTAATGTCATTCTTGTGTAAGCTCTATGAGATCACATTCTGATAAGAAATTTAGACTTTTCTTAAATAAGCTATGATTTAGCTCCCGAGGCTTTTATTAATAAATAGTAGCTGAAAAATTAAATCTTGTGGAGAAAACAGGAGAGGGGAGGGGGTTATGATAGAAACATTCAAATACATAAAGGGAATCAATACAGTAAAGGAGAAGAGTATATTTAGTAGAAAAAAAAACTACCACAACAAGAGGACATAGTCTTAAATTAAAGGGGCGAAGGTTTCAAAATATTATCAGGAAATATTACTTTACTGTGAGGGTAGTGGATGCATGGAATAGCCTTCCAGCTGAAGTGGTAGAGGTTAACACAGTAAAGTAGTTTAAGCATGTGTGGGATAGGCATAAGGCTATCCTAACTATAAGATAAGGCTAGGGACTAATGAAAGTATTTAGAAAATTGGGCAGACTAGATGGGCCGAATGGTTCTTATCTGCCGTCACATTCTATGTTTTGTGTTCCATAAGGGAAGCTGAATTCTACACCACGTCTATATTAAACTATTTCAGCAGTTATGTGAGACTTGTCAGTAAAGTGCTAGAATTTCAATCTTTGATTAGCCTTCCCTTTAAATAGCTTCTATCGTGGCTGCAAATACTGTTTTAGTAATCCATTTGCTATAAAGAGCATGAATCTTTTCAGGATCTCTTCGTCAAAACAATTTTTTCAAGTAAAAGATCCATTTTTCCCTGGAGTCGCTGTACATGGAACCTCAGTTAGGTATGTGAAATGGGTTTTGCATTTCATTCTTAAGCAGATTTTATTTTTCTTGTTTTGAATATTATATTAAGGAATAAAAAAAAAAGTAAAGATTGTATATATTTTTTCCTTTTACTTGGGGAAAAAAAATAGTGTAACAGAGGTACATATTAAATAGTATCCAGTGCAATTTCATCACACATGATGTTCTAGAAGTGCTTTGCCTGCTTTTGGACTGTTTGGATGTTTTATGAGCGCATGCACATTTGGGCAGTTCTTTCAAAGTGCACTATAGGAATTAAGGAAATGAAGAATTGAAGCGCTTTAAACTCTCTTGCTTTCTTTTTGATCAACAGCAAAAAACAGATGAGAGAGAAGCTGAACTTGATGGGCACTTCTCTTTTCAGTCTATGTAACTATGCGACTAATTCACATTACATGCTGTGACTTTGCTGGTTCATCCAGACCTACAACAAAGATTACAAATCAAAAAACCTTTTTGAATGTTAAAAAGAAGTTGTACAAATCATATCTAATGTTTAGTGTGCGTTCTTCCGCTTGACTGTGCCACTTTACATTTCGCTATATGCTTCCATCATACGATATAATGTAAACACACTTTTACGTGTCTATAAATGTATGCACAAATCTATGTAAAAGTGTTGTAAATGCCAAATTATTAAGCTGTTATTTCTATAGCGTTTGAATTTATATCACTAGATAGAATGAGATTTTACAGAAAGATTTGGATTTTTCTACCCAGAGAGCTACTTATCAGATTCAGGAGAGATTGTATACATACTTACTATACAATATATATCTTTATACTGTATATATGTATACAATCTCTCTCCTGAATCTGATAAGTAGCTCTCTGGGTAGAGAATTCCAAATCTTTGTTCTGAGGTTCCATATATATACTGTATATGTGTGTATGTATGTATAATCTCTCTCCTGAATTTCATAATTAGCTCTCTGGGTAGAGAATTCCAAATATTTGTTCTTTCTGTAAAGGAACTGTAAAACTAATTAAACTATTAGGGATTTATGATACTAATCAGTAAAACCTTTAAGGCATGCATTAGGTCGCTCTAAGTATTGGTTGCAAGTAGTCCGGCATTGAAACTATTAAGAAAGGAATCCACATAACCACACCCTTCAATTTATATAGGAGATGTACAATGGAAGCTTCAGGGTGTGGTTCTCAAAGCCCCTTAACCCAGGCTGGCATTAACTCTGATATATACAGAGAAATGTTGTAGAATCTGCACTTGCTGCAAATATTCTGGAGTGAGCTAGTCACATTCTGAATTTTTAGACTTCTGAATGGGAGCCTCGAGTATAACCCATAACCACCTAGCAAGCGAAGAGTTATGGGATGTTTTTTTGTTTGTTTTTTAAACTAACAGTTGCTAAGCAAGCTCTGTTATAAATCTGTAGGAGACTATGTACTTAAAGGTATACTATACAAAGCTGTATTCCTGGCACTATATAGCTCCCTCTGCCTCCTCCTTGCTCACGTCTCCGCCTTCTTCTGGCAAATGCCATTCTTATATCAAACATCCCCATAGGAAAACATTGAATCAGTGCTTTTCTATAGGGAAAAATCTGACGCTGGATGTCCTCATGCAGCGCATGAGGACATCCAGCATCAGTTACCGGACCAAAGGTCTGTTTGGATACAGGAAGTGCCTCCAGTAAACATTGCAGCACTAATTGCAACAGGGACACTGCACCCAGACCATTTCAATTAGCTGTTGTGGAAAGTGTAGTTTGTCCTCTGTTGTGAGCATATAGTTGCCATTGTTTTCTGCTTTCGTTTGCGGTTATACACATCAGAATGCAGAACTCCCTTTACCATAATCCGTTAAAGTAGGTTTTTATGATGCTTGCACTTTTTCAGTATTCGTAAACTTACAAAAATGATAAGAGCTGGCATAACAGCTACTACCCCAAAAAAAAAAGTTGTGTACGGAGTAAATATGAACCACAGTCCTGTCCAGTGGATCTGTCATTTTTCATTATTTCATAACTATATAATCGTTTTGAAATACTGATTTAAGAATGCGTTAGACTTTCATTGAAATTCCAACTTAATCCAAAGTTATCATAAGACCAAGTAGGGACCACTTTGTCTTATGGTCCAGACTGAGGTTGACAAAAAGAGGATCTCCTCTGTTAACTTTTGTCCAATCCCAGCAACCTTCACTAGTGACGACGGTTCAGGCTCTGTCTGTGGAGAGTCTTGAGGGATACTCCATAGACCTCAGTGTTGTACTTTAACATGGCTCCTGGCCTGAATTGGAGCTGCATCGTGAAGATAGCGGCCGTGAGGAACAGACGGAGGTAAGTAAAACTCACCTAACTTGTAGCCACTGTCCCACACTGGATCTGTCAATTTTGGGTGTCTTTCTAAAATAAGCAAATACCCTCAAAAATTGACAGATTTACTTTAAGCCTATGCTTGCTTTTTTTATTTTTGTGCATTGCACAGTAGCCACATGTTTACCTGTTGTGCCCATTTTCAGAATTTCAGTATCTCTTTCCAGGGAAGAATTACTTTGTGAGTTGGGGGTCCAAACCATACAGAATCACAGTCAATCATTGACTAGAAGATACTGGAAAAGAAATAAGCATAATCCAGTGAGGAGCAAACTCCTTATCTACATCATTGAAACTGTGAGTTCTATTACGTTTCTCTGAACTGAGGAAGATGGGGGGTAAGTGGTATTATTATTATTGGCTACGAATGTAGTGGCTAAGATGAAACACTCTGGGTTAGCTGTACAAGCAAAATGTCCCTGTTGGGGCTATATTGGAATTTATACTTGCAACTTTTACAGTTTATTCATACTGAATAGAAATGTGTTGTGATTTGTTTGTGTCTAGTATATTTTGATCACACTTGCTTTTTTAAAGGAACACTATAGCATTATAAATACAAATCTGTATTCCTAACACTTTAGTTCTCTTCTCCCTAGTTCTGCAAAGGTGTCCCTCCCCTGTTTACAGTGAAAATTAGAAAAAACTAATTCACAGATCTTTTTCCAGCACCAAGGCTCCCTCATTGCTGCTCACCTCTTCGTCTCCCGTAACATCACACAGGAGGCATGGCCTTCGCCAATGTCCAACCCAGTGCTCGTGATAGAGGAGCATTGAGGACCTAATGTGTACGCACTGCAAGTGCATTTAAACTTCTCCGTAGGAAAGCATTGATCAATATTTTCCTTTGGGGCTTCTGCGTCACATGACAGAGTTTTACTTGGTCGGGGCTGCGGAGGCCCCTCTAGTGGCTGTCATACTGACTTACACTGCAGGGTTAAAAGGACAGGTACGCTGTCCATCCAGACCCCCCTGATTGAGATGAAGTGGTCTGGTTAACTATGGTGTTCCTTTAACCAATATGTTGGCAATCAGCAATATATATATTAGTTTTGGTGTGTGTGTGTGTGTGTCTGTATATATATATTTTATTTTATTTTTTTAAATATTAATTTAAGAATAGTGTAGCAAATGTAGAAATCACAGAAAGGACATAGTTATTTACTAAAGTGTGAAAGAGAAATAGACAAACTGTCTATTGTCAGCGTAGCTGATGTGGAGAATTCTTCCAACTCTTTAAACCTTGAATTTCTGACAATTCTCACTTTAGTAAATGACCCTGATAGGCATATAGCACATTTTCTCGAAATGATATGCCAGAATTTCAATAGGTTCCCCTGGTTAAGTGGATGTGTCAAAGCCCTGTTTTCCATCAGGTACCATGATACAGGATGCCCATCGGAGGAACATTGTATGTGCTCTAGGTGACACATAGGGAATAGTGAAAATATAGGGAAGGAAAGGAGGAGTGGATGGAGGATGAAAAGGAGACAACACCCCCCCCCAAAAAAAACCCACTTCAAACACTCTCTCCCCAGAGCTCCATAACAGCCCAGACCCTCTCCCCACAGAGTTCTAACTCAACGCTTACTGGCATTTTCATAGCGAGGCAGTCAATACCTCCAATGGCCTGATATGCTCTGCCCTGTCCATCAACTGCTCTCCAAATTCCAGATGGCAGGGGCGTAGCTGCATTTAAAACCCAACATGCGTCTAAACTCTTGCATGGAAGCTATTAGATTTCCTAGCTGCCAATGGCCCTGACTTCACCTTTTTCAGATAAACTTTCCAAATGATTTAATATTTTTGTATACATTTTTGCTTAAAAAAATGTACATTTTAAAATATCAAAAAATATATATAAAAAAATCAGTACATTAAAAAAAAAAATATTAAAGCATTGAAAAAGGTCAATACTTTTCATAATAGTAAATAATTTTAAAAGTGTATCCTAAAATATTGAATCATTTGAAAAGCTCATATGACTTTATTAAATTGAGGCCAACATCAAGCAAATTACTGTATGTCGTAATTAATTTTAGTGAACACAAGGTGGCTCCATAACCATGTAATTTCTCGGACTCTGCTAGTATAATATTTAGTGTAGAACGTCTCTTTGCCAGCAGGTGGAGATATTGCACTTGTCTTCTGTAGGCGGATTGCATTTTCTAATGCCCACATCTTTTAAAGGTCTATTCTCTATTGTGAGTTTTTGTTTTTTTGTATATCCCAACTGCTTTTGAAAGTCGTTAAAGCAAGATTGTGACATTTGATCCGTATAATAATATAATATTTTAATTATTCATTTGTTATGACATGTTAGATTCACTTACTCAATATCTGAAATAGACCAAATTTGTCAAAATATTGAACTCTATATTTAAACAATGTAATCAAACCTTGGTCTTATTCCCTTCCAACATAAAGGTCCCAAACAATAAAACATGAAATAACAGAATAGTAAAATAAAAGTTGGCACTTTTAAAATTTGTTTAATTTTTACAATTTTCAGTTTATTTTACTTCTCACTTTCCTTTTTGTATGTCTTATAAGCATTGTGTTGTGAATCAATTTGAACTTTATACAGGGCTATTCAATAAAGTAAGAATTCAAAATGATTTTTAAATTTAAGATCGCAGTAGCCAAGATTTTTTTTCCACTTCAGCTATTTTGACCTTAAATTTGAAATTCAATTGGAATTCTCACTTGATAAATAACCCTGATAGTGCTAAAAATTTTAGATGCTCCCCAGGACTTGAAAACAAGAGCCATTTCCTGGTAAAATATTTTATAAATAAATCATAGTTCTATTTTATGTCTATCCTTTTCAGAGTGACATAAGAATATTTTTGGAGATAAAGTAATTCTAGCTTTGTTCTGAACCAGCTCAGACCACATAAACATTTTTGTATCATTTTTATTTTAGATCAGTTTCAGTGCAAACATAAAAAGATATAATCCATTTGTTTACGGAATGTTGCAATACCCAACTCTGATACAGTTCACGTGGCTCACATTGTTTCAGCAGGATAAACTTTGTGTTATTTACTTCATCCAATCAGTTTGGACTTATTCCCACCCATCCTCAGAGGTCAAATGCGGCCACTATGTTCAGTGACAATCCCACCACCCACAAACCACTAAAATGTTGCTACATGTGATAGCAAGAATAATAATCTAAAAAAAATCATTATATATTTCCATGTTTATAAAAAGGAAAACAAAACAAAATATGCATTGTAATATGTATAGTTTTTTTTTTTTGAGAAAACCTCATATATTTGATGCACAATTTCACATTACATAAACATGCCCTTACACCGCAGTACCTAATGAAAAATTAGTTTGACACTGAACTGTGGGACGGAGCTTGGGGACTACAAGCACCATAAAAACGGCAATAAGATGAAGTGGTTATGGTGCCTAGAGTATCCATTTAGCATGTTCTCTGGGACATCCATCCTCTGGGACTCTATGTGAATCAAGTTTTAACAGAGCGCTGAAATGGGCTGAGATAGGGCAGAACGCTATAGCAAAATGGGAGGAAGAATGGAATATCTCACCTAAGCATGCTTTACATCTTAATGGTGCACTAGAAACCAGTGATATGATATATCAAAAACTAGGTAATCTATAAAGCTGATAAAAGCGAGGCGGATCCAAAACCAACCCAATCTCTGGAAGGGCACTAAACATTTTGGTGAACAATTCTGTTTTCAATTGACTACAAATCTGTTTAATATATATATATATAAAACTCTCATATCACATTATCATTTACCTACTAACCCCTATTAACTCCTAGTGAGCTTATTCCCATATTGTCCCTTCCTCCAGTGGTGTCCCTCTTTCCATACTCCCCCTGTGTCTTTCTATCCAGATTCTCTCCCCCACTTTCTGTCCTTTGTACATATTCTACCTCTAACTTCTGTCCATCTCCTCATATTTTGCCCCAACCTTTAACTTTCTCCACATTCTTCCCCCAAAATGTAGTCCCTTCCCTCATAACCCCGACAAACTTTAAACCTTTTCCATATTCTTCCCCCATACCTTTTTGTCTCTTTTCTACTGTCCCCCACACCTGTCAGGATTACTAACTGATCCCGCACGCAGAAATGTATCACACCTAGGACTAAGTATAACGTCTAACCCGACCTTAAAATGGTCAGAATTAACGTATCCAAGAATAGTCAGAATACTTGCAGAGTTTTGGAATAAAGAATTAGACACAGCGATGAGGAAAAGTCAAGGATACCAGAAATCAGGGAAGTCAAAACGAAGCCAAAGACAAATACCAAAAAATCAAGATCAGGAATGCACTCTTGGATTACCATCAGACAGAAACTACGACAGAGCAATGAGAGAATGTTAAAATAAGTTTAAATAATCCTCCTGATATTCTGATTGACTGCAATCGGCCTTTGACCCCAAAACGTGGGCGCACATGGCATCACGTGTACGCCGACATCATTCTCAACGTGAGCAGTTATGGGCCTTTAAGGTGGCATAGATCCACAGCAGCCGGCGTCTCTAGACATGCTGGGATTATCAGGTATCCGGGCACACGGCTGTAAATGGGCACAACTATTCCTGTCAGGACATTAAATACCGTTAACCACTTTACCATAAGCGGATGAATTTGTTACACCACCCCCCCCACACACTATCAAGTGTCTTCACATTCTCCCCCACATCTTCAGCTTTCTTAATATTTCTCCCACACACACATTCTGTCCCTCTCTCCCTGTCTGTCCATTTCCCCAAAATAAAGTGGCCTGTTCTGATGGTAGTGTGGCTGAGTGACATGGGACTGGTTGCTCTAGCAGAGTGCTCAATTCTGTTTGGCTCCACCTGCTGGTAGAATAAAGCAGTGATAGAACATATTGTCTATCTTGGCTCTCTGTTGTAGCCAGGTATGGCTGCTCAAAGTGGAGTGTGGCTGTGCACACACTATATCAGGCATAGGTAACCTTCGGCACGGCAGATGTTTAGCACTACACCTCCCATGATGCTTTTCCAGCATTATGCGTGTAAGAGCATTATGGGGGATGTAGTCCACGACATCTAGAGTGCCAAAGGTTGCCTTTCCCTGCACTATATAGTAAATACCCTGCATTTGCAGACATACAAAGTACCCACCTCGGGTAACCCTGCATTGTGGGTACCTATCTGGGTGGTGGGTCCTGGTACCCCGGATCCATCCCTGATTTCGGGTAAAATAACTGGGATTTAGTTACAAATGCCTGTTTTTGAACGACTAATTTTACCTTAGATCAGCTATGTTGATGGAATCTTGACATTGATAAACAGATTAAGTTCTTTGCACTCTGGGTCCATGTTTACTCAGCATTGTTCAACTGTGAGATGTTTGCTACTTTGTGTATTCACATTCTATATCAACTACGAAAAGCAAAAAGCCACACGACTGTATTTAATGACTGCGTAACCCTTTCAGTACCTAGCAACCTTCCATTCCACATTGCTAAAACTGAAACCCACTGTGTTTCATACTCAATCCTTTACATTCTACTGTGAATGCAGTGTGTTGTCACTGATAACTACCTTTTAACCCCTTAAAGGAACAATACATGTTATTTTTTTTTTAATGGATCCATGACTTACTGTCAAAATTAAAGTCCAATATTTTCCGTGTCTGTCACTGCCGCTGCACTGGGTTTATGTCCCAACAATTCAGGGAACTTTATAAAACTTTATAAAATATCAATCTTATTACTGTGATGGAGCTGAAGTTGGTGTTTTATCTGACAGAGATTTTTTTAATGCAGAGTGTGCCAGTGTTTATTCTTATACGAATATGTAGCTATTCAATGGGAGCTAGACTTCATGTGGAAACATATGTCTTATAAGGGTCTTGTATAGCTGTAACCATGCACGTAAAGAGTCTAGACCCCAAACATGTTATCTTGCTTAAGTACTTTGTGTGTAGAGTGTGTCCTCTCTTTTTTTTTTTTTCATTTTACAAAAAGTGCAGATTTCAATAGATATTTGCACTTTTATAAATGATCCTTGTTACACTTCCCTGTTTGATAACCAGACAACCCATCCTGTTCTGGTTAGCTGAGTGGAGCTAAACTCAAGAGGCACCTGACTTACAAAGACTTCTCATTGAGCTGCATTGGGAAGTCTGTGATTGGACAACCATGGGAAATCTGGGCGGGTTTAGAAAGAGAGCAAAGGCTGCAAACATCATATCTGAAGTTTTTGGAAGCTGTCTTTAGATATACCCCAATTTATAAAATGCATTGTTAAAAAGACTGAGTGACTCAAACTTCTATTTGGTTACAGCATCCTATTGAAAGCATATGCATGTAGACAATGGCAATAACCAATATTAAGTATTACTGCATTCAAATTTTCGGGGCTTAAAAGCCCCCTTTGCAGCAATTGCAGGAAAATGTTATCGACCACTAAATACCATATATAAAGGGTCAGCTACCTATGGCACGTTTGCCATGCATGGCACTCGAGGCTACCAGAGTTAAATAGGCTATGGTCTATCAGGATTAATCTAGTACAAACTGAGTGATGAGGGGCAATCCTCATTTTATGCATTGAGGACTTAGAGGAAGTAATCTCAGATTACTTCACCCCAGAACTTATAGGGAATTCACACTGGAGAAGGGCAGTCCTAAGACACTATTGCAGCTTTTGATCTGTATCTAGCCAGCCTGGTCCCCACTGGACTACAGGGAAGCCACACACACTGCTAGATATACACAGACCTGCAGAAGAAGCCCACCCCCACGATACAAATAATACAAAAAGCCAACACAGAAACAACACTACTAACAACCCACATACATTCATAAAACTCTGTAAGCAGCGTGTCACATACAATAAACCTAACAGCCACACACATAAACAAAACAAGCACACAATGTGACATACCATCCACACACAATTACACAAGCAGCCCCAATACACTGAGTACACTCACAGGTATCACGCACAATACCACGAACTACTCATGAACATATACTGTACAATATAACAGCCCATGTATGCACAAGTAGAACGCTAAAAATAAAAACAGCACCCATAAATAACACAAGCAAAATACGGCAACATACACGCCTCACTTTAACAAAAAGAGAATTGGCACGTCGAGAGACTTGAAAATCTTATTTTGGCACAGTATAATAAAAAGTTGCCTACCCTTGTTATATGATGAAAGTTTCCAAGAGAAAAATGTTAGATAATCTAGCCAAGCCCTTTTCATGATGCTGTTGACAGAGTAGATTATCTGATAAGATGCCATTTTGGGCTAATTATTTTACCCAATCATGACTGAGTATCCATGGGATGACTCACTCCCAGACACGCATTTCCTCATTGACTTGGTTCTGTCAGTGAACCTGTGACTTTAGAAAAAACAAGGTAGCAATAACGGGACAGAACTGAAAATGCTTATCTAATTAACTGATTTCCAAGTTTATACAACACTTGTAGCAAAGTCCTCCTGAAATGAAACTGCTTATTATATTAGTCCTTGATTCCCAAAAGAAGGTGCCAACTCTCCTCATATAGAATAAAAAAAAAAAAAAAAAAAACTTTGAAAAGCTGAGTTAAAAAGTGTTGATGAATATAGAGAAGCAATAATGTTGTTTCAGTCATGTGATATCAGCATCATTTAACTCCCATAAAAATAGTTGCAATGTTCCTTACGTAGCATCGATAGGGTGGCTTAGGCTTACAGTTAAGGAAATTAATTGTTACCTGTCAGTCTACTATGGACTTCTTGAGAATCATTTTAGTTACAGCCTAAAGCACTTTGAAGACAGGTACTCCCTCAATCCTAACTCCCACTCTTTAAACCTTTAAAACAGATAGGCACCCAAACCTTAATTCTGTTTTAGAGGAGTCTGTTTTAATGGCCCAGTTTCCTGATGTGTTTTGAAGACATTTTCACGATAATTTCACCCTACAAATTGGAGACATATAAACATCACAATTGTTAACAGCATCATTTTGAATGTATGTTTTCCAAAAGATTTGTGTTTTTTTACATTTAACTCATCTTTGAATATATATCCATTTTAAAGATTAATATTCTTTTTAAATGTCCACTTGAAATGTACATCCAAATTTTTACCGGTTAAGTGTTGCAAACGTTCTAAGCAACTCTATTTAAAATCTGGCACTCAACACTTGTCCTTGTTATATGTTTCTAGGTTCACTCTCAATTGGAAGAACAGGAGATTGTAGAAATGACGGACACGTGGAAGACAGGAACACAAAGCATTGTTGACCAAACCAGAGAAATCTGAGGACCTTTAGAAGATACATCTTTAAAATTCTGCCATTTGAAACCAGGAACTGAAAACAATAAAGATTATCTGCAATTAACTAAAACCTTCGGTAATATTTTTATACCCATTGAGAAAAAGAGTCTCTAACTTATATTTTATATAGATATTTCAGAAATTTCATGTTATTTGTCATGGGAGATGGGGCTTCTCGTACATGTTCCCTTAATTATACTTTGTATCGTGTAATGTTTCCCTGTGTTCGAATGGAATTGTTCCCTTTTGTTAGATTACCGAACAGATTCTGTGGGGTCCCCTTTTTTGCAAATCATGTTTAGGCTTGATTGGATGACACTGCGTGTCCCATTCTAAATATGATAAAAATGAGGCTTGAGTATTAATCTGTGGATAGGTATTAATGTCTCTTTTGGATAGGATATTGGAACACAAGGCTTGTTCATATCAAAGGACTCCTTATCTAAGAGGGAATCCAGACATATGGCAAATGAGAGAGTTAGTTTATACTGAAACCAGACTTCCAGGCCACTTATGTTTGACTTCTAACACATTACAGAGTAGCTCTGCTGGGGTCCCAGCTTCAAAGAGGACCTCTCATACAATTAAATGAACCCCTTTTAAAATTGACCATACCACCTCTACCAGGCAGCCAGTTCATATATGCATGAATATTAGGGATTATTCTAGCCTCGGTGAGGGAATAATCTAAATTTTATTAAAGACAGGAGGCGAATATTTGCTTTACCTTCTTTACTGAAACCTCCAGCAGCAAAGAAACAGTTAACAGAACTTTTCAAAACAACCAATCAGAACAAAGCAACAGTAGTATAAAACCCCTAAGCAGGCTCTTCCACTTCCTCTTTCTTTGATGAGGTCGAGCAGGAGAGCAAGGAAACCAACCTTGTAGCAGACAAATCCAGAGAAACAATCGTCAAGCCCAGAGAGAAAAACAGTTAACACTGCAAGAAAACAGAAAACATCGTGAAAGTAAACTGTCAAGGCAAGATGTCATCCATACAATATCACTTTCACATCATAATACCTGATGAATAAACAAAGTCTACAGATCTTATGAAGACCTAGTATGTACCTAAGCTAAAAGGCATTGACGAAACATAATTACAACACAAACATGATGAATAAAACGCACACGGACAACCATCACTGAATATTAGAAATAACCTTTATTATGTAAAACCATGCATTCACAAAACATAACAATATCCACAATTATTTATAATAGAATAAAACCCAGATCCAGGGAGGGAACGTAAAAAAAGGGGGGGAAATATTCGCCTCCTGTCTTTAATAAAATTTAGATTATTCCCTCACCGAGGCTAGAATAATCCCTAATTTTTTGGCAGGACAGGAGGCTTCATATTTGCAATTTTAACGCCCAAATAGTAGAACCAGAAGCAATATGAGAGAGGACTGAAATAAAGGAGAATGGAAAAACTGATTCCCTAAACCAAGCAGCGGTGTAGAGAAAATGCAGAAGGGACCCAACGGCTTCCAAAATTGTTGAGGTGACAGCACCCCGAACCAAAAGTGTCCCAGAGGAACTCAAGGTCAGTCAATGAGAGGATCCACCAAATCCAACGGGCGAGCGAAGATGCAGAAACAGTCCAAAACGGCCGTACGCAGAAATAAACAGCTGTCCATGAGTAGACGGACGAAAGAACCAGATCCTTGATCTACATGGTCGTGTACAATCTGTCAACAGAGCCATGGCCTATCCGGAAAGTAGGGGTACGACACAGAGGACGAATAAAAATGAAATGTGTGGAGCAGAAGCCGATGTACTGAACGGCAAGAAGGAAGAAGACACGTCGATACCATGACGTCAGAACGCGATGAGATACAAGATGTACAGGGGGGAAACCGTAAGCGGAAAAAACTGGCGAGAGATAGGGCTCCCGTACGGTATACTCCTCTTGGTAGACTGGAGACCAAGAGATCCTTAGCAATGCCAGAATCTTGAGAAAACGAACATGAGTCGTCCACTAGCTGACATAGGACGTGAATGGCCCCATACAATCCTACACTGAGAGGGCAACTCAGCCAGACAATGGGGACAGCCATTGGGACCCAAACACAAGTCGTGGCAGGCTACCCCTGTGGATCCCACGTGGGACATTAAGAGACAGCGAGTCGTAGATTGCCTTCCCATGGCAAACTCCAGCAAAAAGGGGAAAGCACGTAGGACTCCTCCGAAGTGGTTTGGCCAGGCGAAACGACACTTCCAGGAATTCGGTCTGAAGCAAAACCCAAAGTATCCTGTAGGTAAACGGGATGCGTACGCCCCGAAGGAGACCAAGCTTGGAAAACTCGTCCCTCGCCTCGTTGAGGGTCCGGCAGCCAGTTGGAGAACTGCTCCATATGGTGGTTCGCACCGAATGTAATCATGCCTGTACTCGAGACCCTGGAGGGTGAGGCAACCAATCATTGGGGTCTCTCCATGGCCGGGTGAAGCCGTCCGCCACACGAGTGTCTCGTCCCGCATACATTCTGTCACAAATGACGAATACTTGTCCAGAAGCTATAGATAGCGATCCTATGTGAGATCCGACTGCAGTCCGTAGTGGGCAACCGGTGAGAAGTCCATTCCGGAAGGTAGCGAGCAATACTGTGAATGTTGAACAAACCTGCAGGTAGTTCCATGCAGTTGGCGTAAAGGAGTCCCTCCTCCGGAGTCATCAATTAAGTCTTAGATGAGCTTCATCCGAAGGTCACATGATTTGGTCATACCAGGACAAAGACCCGAGAAAGCGCCATGTTGGAGCGGCTGATAGTACCGGATCCTGGAGGTATGGCTTCCATGGCGAATAGGCACCGGTCAATTAACCGGGTTGGGCCCCTAAGTGTAACCCGCAGGTTGCGGAGCATATACCTGGTATTTTCATTGAAGACGGACATCTTGGTCCTCGGGAGGCGGAGCACCGCCTGGACCGAATATTCCATGAAAGACCTGAAACTGGGTTGACTTGGAGTGAGTCAGATTCAATATGTCCATGTTGATGGCAAAATCCATGCGGGTTTCTCTCATGTGCATTTGAGGGAGAGAATCAATCGTCAATGCCGAGCAGCTCTCAGAGGGGATGAGTGCCCTCCGTCTCAAAATGTGTCAACAGACGACATGCACTGGGAGCATGTAGCGTGGGGATGGGGCGGGAGTCCACTCCACCGCACCCTTTGCCCAGCAGGGCAACTGCGGAATGAGTCGGAATGGATGCCTCTTTTGGTCATGCGTATCGCTCATGGAACGGTCCAAGGTTCCGCAACCTTGATCTGGAGTCCGGGCATGGTCCGAGAGACCTCTGGGGCTAGTTAAGGGGGAACCCTATGAATAGAGACGTGTCGGCTCAATTTTGTATACGAGGGTAACTCCGGACAGCAGACCCAGCACTTGGATGCTAAATCCATCAGTTTGATGTCCAGCTTGGACAGGGGCCGTTTTGCGGTTATCAGGGGTAGAAACCAACTAGGCGATACCTATAAGTCATATCGGTCCATTCCCAGTGGGAATTTAGTCTTCTCCGCTTTCCAAGCGGTAACGCGCCGTTCGTCCCGAGGAAACATCTGTGTCCGCGTGTCACCGATATCCACTGGTTAGTCACCCTCAGTCTGAACATAATCGGACACTGTAGGTACAGTGGTGCGGCCAGCTGGGGGTCACCCAGCGTGCAAGAGGGGGTCACCCAACAAGCACAAGCATACCATGCAGTATAGGCCAGCAGGGGAGGGGGTCACCCTCAGTCTGAACATAATCGGACACTGTAGGTACAGTAGTGCCGAAGTGGTTAGCCGTATAATAAAGTAACCAGACATTGCCGGTCCAGCAGTGTAGACGGCAGGAGGGGGTCACCCTCATATAACCAGAACCGGGCATTGCAGATCCAGCAGTGCTGTAGGTAAGAGGGGGTCACCCTCAGTGTGGTATCATAGAGGTCTGTACACCCAGCAGTGTAGTCAGCGAGAGGGGGTCACCCTCATTATGGTTATAACGGGACCCTGTAGGTCCAGCAGAGTAGTCCACAGGAGGGGGTCACCCTCAGTATCTGCGTATTGCAGGGAACTGTAAGAACAGAAGCTCAATCAGTGGGAGGGGTACCCTCTTTTATGGGAATACCCGGACGCTGCAGGTCCAGCAGTGCAGACTGCAGGAGGGGTACCTCCTCAGTATGATAATAGCAGGACATTGCCGGAGCATTAGTATAGGAAGCAGGAGGGGGTCACCCTCAGCATTAATCTTACAGGACGCTGTAGAGCCAGCAGGGTACTTTATAGGTAGCCATGTTGCCAGAGGGAGGGGGTCACCCAGCCCACAATGGTGTCACACATCCATTATTATGGTCCAGTAGCAGGTAGAGCCCCAGAAATATGGATGGGGGGGGGGGGTTCACCCCCCAGTAATAACAGGTCTGAATATGGGGCCAGTAGCCCCGCTGAGGGGTAGGAGGGTCCATATAGCGAGAAGCTGACTCACAGACCACTCAGGTATTATATTAGGATACACTTTTGAAGTGTATGTGTAGTGGAAAATCTAAGTCCCTTGCAGGAAGGGTAGCAAATCCTAGGTAGGGGAGCTAGGTGCTGAAAAACAGGCCATTTAATTTTTATGAGAAAAAGACTGAACCTTAGAGAAAGACTTGATTAGCATATAACACATGTGGCATAGTCTTGTTAAACAAAGATTTTTATTTGATCAGTAACATGTCCCTTTAAATCTGAGATTCACATGTAATAGTAAAAAAGTGTGACAAGTCTACTGCTAAGATAGAGAACCTAGTCACATTGCATCAGACATAGTAAGCTGCAGTTGTGAGCGTGCCTGGGACAGATTCTGCTATCCAGGATCTGTTACATATGCAGCATGTGAGACAGGCACAGTAAGTAGAGGGATAGCTGAAAAACTGGGCTATCTCCCCTGATATAGGGAGAGAGGAGGGTGGCCACATGGCCAGCAGGTCAGTTCTTGGGTGAGACCTGGCTGTTTGCAACGCACAGAGCCCATGTGGCTCTGAAAAATGGCTGCCGCGGCTCCAACAAAATGGCTGCCGTGGCTGCAAAAACAGAGCGCAGCCTACCGCGTGGTGATCGTGCGGCACTGCAAGCGGCCACGGGGAGCAGGGTGGGAATAAGGGAGAAGGGTATGGGCGACAGAGCCCAGCAGGGGAACCCGGGGAGGGGAGGGGGAACAGATTACAGGCAGAGCCAAAGCATCATAGCAGGGGCACCCATTCCCCATACAGCAGAGTGAGAAAAACTGCATAAAGTAACCCAGAATAACAATAAATCAATGAGCAGTATACAGAATCTGTCAGATAAATTGCCTAAATACAGCAACAGATGTTAAGTGAAACTGCAGCTACATAGCATGAAGTGGTATAGGAAATAACACAAAATAAACTGCCTAGCTAAACCCAGCAATAGACTGCCTAGCTAAACACAGCAATAGACTGCCTAAATAAAACCAGCAATTAAGCTGCTTAAACAAACCTAACAAATAGACTGTTTAAATAAACAAGCAGCATGTAGGATAAAACAACAACCAAGAGCAGAGACAACTCTGAGTTGGTGAGTGCTCACCTGGAGGCAGCAGCAAAGAAAGAGGAAGTGGAAGAGCCTGCTTAGGGGTTTTATACTACTGTTGCTTTGTTCTGATTGGTTGTTTTGAAAAGTTCTGTTAACTGTTTCTTTGCTGCTGGAGGTTTCAGTAAAGAAGGTAAAGCAAATATGAAGCCTCCTGTCCTGCCATAAAATTTCCAATTCACCAAACCGATCTGAGCTCTTTTTGGATATGTTGTGTGCTCACATTGAGGCGATTTTGGGAACATAATTTTTGTGGGGTTCCGATGCTGTCATTTATTTTTGTGATTTGTAAAAATTGTATGTATGTTTTCCTATTTGAGAGATAATTGGATTAGCTTAATTGGAGCTCAATTATCTCTCAAACACAATGGCTTGTGAGAAGTAAACCCCTGTGATTTTATATTAGAAACCCCATGCTAGGGGCACTGCATAGAAAGCAGAGTGTGGCCTAATAAAGTGAGATTGCTGCTTTTACCAAACACGACTGATTGAGACCATTATATTGGGAACTCTACACAAAGGGGAATACTTTCACTATATTCAGCACAACTGGAATTAGGACTAGTGGAGGATTGAAGGAATAACAGCAAGAATTAAATAATAAATATATTTGTATAATCAACAGCATTTCTGTTAAACGTAAAAAATGCACTGTCATTTTAACTGAATTGGTTACATATGACTTATTTTTGGATTTGGTCATTGATAGCTGCTCTGTGTAGATAATAGTATCTATGAGCATTATTAGTTGTAATCCTTGTATTAAAGGAACACTAATGGCACCATAACAACTTTATTGTTATAAAGGAGCTCCCTGGCACCAGCTTATTTTTAGGGCTTAAAGCGCTAGCAAATGGTTTAACCCCAAAGTCTTGTAGCCAGCTACCCACAGATCTGTTTTCGCACCGGGGCCCCATGGATCGTATGTATGCCACTGCACAAACACAAATGAAATCGACCTATTTATACAATACCACACCACAATCATCTCACTCTACACACACGCAATCCCACAAGCAGGCTCCAAACAAATGCACGTTACGCTTTCCTGGCGCTTGTGTCCTCTGGTATCCCACTTATGGAGACACCAGAGACAAGTTAAAAGCAAACACAGCGCAAGCATGTTATTAAATTTTCTTGCGCTGCGCAGAACAAATACATGGCCTCTTTCTTATGCTTGAGCTCTTCAGCAGGGTTCTGCGCATTGAACCAACATGCTCACTTTGAGAGGGGGCATGCTTGTCATAAGTGATGACAAAACACACCGTCTCTGGCCCCACCTCCTCCCCATGGGGCCGCTCTGATTGAAAAATGCCAGGGCCTAATTTTTTTCCCAGTCCAGCCCTGCAATGAGTGAAATAAGTATTTGATCCCCTATCAATCAGCAAGATTTCTGGCTCCTAGGTGTCTTTTATACAGTAACAAGCTGAGATTAGGAGCACTCTCTTAAAGGGAGTGCTCCTAATCTCGGCTCGTTATCTGTTTAAAAGATACCTGTACACAGAAGTCAATCAGATTCTAAACTCTCCACCATGGCCAAGACCAAAGAGCTGTCCAAGGATGCCAGGGACAAGATTGTAGATATACACAAGGCTAGAATGGGCTACCACACCATCGCCAAGCAGCTTGGTGAGAAGGTAACATCACTTGGCGCGATTATTCGCAAATGGAAGAAACACAAAATAACTGTCAGTCTCCCTCGATATGGTGTTTCATGCAACATCTAACCTTGTGAGGTTTCAATGATCATGAGAACGGTGAGGAATCAGCTCAGAACTACACGGGATGATCTCAAGGCATCTGGGACCATAGTCACCAAGAAAACAATTGGTGACACACTACGCCGTGAAGGACTAAAATCCTGCAGCACCCGCAAGGTCCACCTGCTCAAGAAAGCACATATACAGGCCCATCTGAAATCTGTCAATGAACATCTGAATGATTCAGAGGAGAACTGGGTGAAAGTGTTGTGGTCAGATGAGACCACAATCAAGCTCTTTGGCATCAACTCAACTCGTTGTGTTTGGAGGAGGAGGAATGCTGCCTATGACCCCAAGAACACCATCCACACTGTCGAACATGAAAACATTATGCTTTAGGGATGCCTTTCTGCTAAGGGGACAGGACAACTGCACCACATCAAAGGGACGATGGACGGGGCCATGTACCATCAAATCATGCGTGAGAACCTCCTTCCCTCAGCCAGGTCATTGAAAATGGGTTGTGGATGGGTATTCCAGCATGACAATGACCAAAAACACACAGCCAAGGCAACAAAGGAGTGGCTCAAAAAGAAGCACATTAAGGTCCTGGAGTGGCCTAGCCAGTCTCTAGACCTTAATCCCATAGAAAATCTGTGGAGGGAGCTAAAGGTTCAAGTTGCCAAAAGTCAGCCAGGAAACCTTAATGACTTGGAGATGATCTGCAAAGAGGAGTGGGACAAAATCCCTCCTGAGATGTGTGCAAACCTGGTGGTCAACTACAAGAAACATCTGACCTCTGTGATTGCCAACAAGGGTTTTGCCACCAAGTACTAAGTCGAAGAGGTCAAATACTTATTTCACTCATTGACATGCAAATCAATTTATAACTTTTTTGACATGTTTTATGTAATTTTTTTTTGTTATTCTGTGTCTCACTGTTAAAATATACCTACCATTAAAATAGACTGATCATTTTTTTGTCAGTGGGCAAACGTTCAAAATCTGCAGGAGATCAAATACTTTTTTTATCTCACTGTATGTGCAGCGTTTCATAGCAAAATTCTGCACAGACAGACTCCAGGTTCCGTGATGCTTGGAGTAACCCTTTCAGCTATTTAAGCTTTTCAGCGTTTGCCCAAAATGTGAAATACACTTTGAATTCATATTACATTCCTAATGGTTCACAGTTTAGTGGGTCTGATCAGAGATGTTTTGGTTTGCAGTTCATGGCATCTACGGACCTCCATTAAATGGGCAGAGTACACACAGAGCATATTGTTAATATAATTACAGTAACATGTTAAGAATATAATAAAACATAAACCGCTGGGAAGCTCTGCAGTGTTATTTTCCCCAAATACACTAATAAAGAAAACCTCATTAGCAGTACAATAACATAATGTTGACGATCTGTAGTTGATTGATAACTAAAAATCCCTTGATTACATGTGTTTATAGGTCTCACACAGCTATTTTCATAGTTGCCCGTTGTTGGGGGTCTCTATAAAGTACTTATATGATTGGGTGACTGGAGACTTTTGTTTTCTTTATTCCCTCATTTAGGAAAAGTTCTGCATTCCAGATATTTATCGTGTCTGTATTTATGGCTATGAAATAAGTGGCTATCATTGGTATAATTATCATTATTGTTAATGGTTTCAAATTCGGTCTCATTCCCGTTGCTAAATGACAGATTCATCCCTAATCCAATCTCAAGTCTCAGGAACCAATCTAAGTGTCACTTTGAACTGTGTGATAGCTCAGTGGGTTAAAATGCCCACTGTCAGGGTTATTCATTAAATTGTAAACAGTATTTTCAAAATCTACTCAGCCTTTCATGAGTACCATTACGCTGGGTAATGATAATATCCGTTTTTTAGCTGAAGATTTATCTGAGTCTAAAACATTGTGTTAATGGAAACTCCAGCTACTGTTAAAAACACAGATAAATTAAGTGTTGCACTGTAAATAACATAAAGTTTCTGGATCTTTTTGGTGGGCTTCCATTATGATGCTTGATTCCCATTGAGCTGAGAGCACCATTTGAAAGAGTACTGTTATTAATGGAAATATTTGCGTAAAGAAGCCAGGTCACCCAGGCTTCATCATATCAATAAAATGATTTGGATGCAGTGGCCCTGTTCTTTATCCCTGCAATGTAAAACACTTGACCTCTTAAGGACAAATGACAGAAATTTTCCGTCATGCTAGCCTTTTACTTCTGAAGCTCAAGGGGTTAAGAAACTGCAACGTTTACATTTCAGGGTTAAATCTTTTTCTAGTGGTTGTCATACTTCAGTGGCATTGATTCAAAGCTTTCCTATAGAAGAGCAAAGATGTACATGGTACTTGCTATGCATGGTCATTGGGTCTCCAATGCTCTTCTATGAGAATGTTTGTGTTGGACATCGGCAGACCTCCTCCATGATGCCGTGGGAGGCGGAGAGGTAAGCAAATCCTCATTTTTTTACTAAGGTAAGTAAATCCTCATTTTTTTATTTTATGTTTTTAAAATAAATAGAAACAGGGACACTAAAGCATTAGACATATAGGTATGTAAGTGTAGTACGGTTAAGGGTTCGTGGGAGATTAGACTTAGGGGGATGAATATATTTAGGATTTTTTTCTCCCTGAACTCACTGTCCATATTATTGGTTCTGAATCTGTCTGCATCGAACATCTGCACTTGTACCTGGTCTGCTGTGGACTGAGTGTGAGAGGATATCTTTTCACTGATATCCGGGAGCAGATTCTGCAAATCCTTCTCATGTTCGTATACTATGTCTGTCGATGTCCTAATACTTTGGTGGGAGCTGGTATGAGAATTCCTGTCTCTCTGATTAACAGAGTGTCAATGTGAAGCTACACCCTCTGCTTTAAAACCGGGTTAATACAAACTGAGAAATAACTAAATATTGATTAGGCAGATATGGAATTTTACCACCATAATCACTTCAGTAAGTTAATATGGTTATAGTGACTACTGCATTTTTCTTCTTTATGGCTGGAAAATCATCATGGATTGACTTGTAGCTGGAGATATAACTTTTAAGCCACTTCTGTTCTAAAGCCTGTGTTTAAATCTTCCTGCTTGACCATCTCACATGCCTTTAAAAAAAAAAAAAAAAAAAAAAGAGCCAGAGTTTTCCCCAAACTTTAGTGATAGAATATGAACATATCAGCTGTAGATCTCAGCCGTACTTGAGCTATAGCTGTAAATTTACGGCTGTGATCCTCTGTCTTGATTAAAGCAGGGCATGTCCCTTGCTTCTCAATGAACCTTTGTGTGTGTGTTTTTATTCTTTGTTTTAATGGGGATGTCCATCATTCTGTGTTTTGGGAGTAAAAGGCTCCTGGGAACAGGCTACTTTCCAGCTGCGGTTTTCTTTCTAAACAGCTGCCCCAGAACCCTTTGCTATAATTCTAATCCTCACTTCCTATTGCTTAATGTGCTTTGCTGGAACGCTGCATTGACTTGGATGGTCTTCATCGATAGAATCACGTGGATCCAGATCCAAATGTTTGTTTTATAGAATGTTGCCACTAAGGCATCCGCTAAATGTTATTTTACAAGCTAAACACTGGGAGTTACAGATTCCATCACTATCCACCTGGCGAATTTGGCTCCCTTACAAAGTAACTAAATAATTACCAACTTTATTGAGCAGTTT